GTTTTTAAAATGTCATATTTTGGATAGTCCTTTCATTTAGCATTGTAATCTGTGATACTGTTTTGATATCGCAGCATGTACATCTGTCGAAATTATGACTGCATCATCTACATCCAATTACGGACGAACAGCGCCTTTGTTCAGTGGAACCGTCTTTTCGACCGTTGAGACAAGTAACATGGAAAGATTCCAGGATTAACCTGATTGTTTGAGAGAAAAAAAGTGAACACAGATGCCCGGTGGCAATTTCCAGTGCCAACAAGAAAGCTGTGACAGTTCCGGTTTCTGAGCGTGCTTGCAGACGATACGGCTTCATAAACGCAGTCTTGGAAGATCTGATGTCCGAAGTAAGCCACACCGTGACGACATCACATGCTGTTTTACAGATCACAATCGTACATTTGTTCCGTTCTGCTTCAGACACACGAGTGACACAAATTCAACTGCGGCTATTAATGGTGAACCAAATTATTTTCTCGAAACGATAGGACGTTACATCGCTGGTACACCGACCCCGTTAACTTCAATACAGTGTTATTATGTGGGAGACGTAGGTACATAATGCGAAGACTTATATATATGAATCTAGAAATCTCTCGTGCATTGAGTCAGCAAATAAATTGTTTGTAAAAATGATTTTGATAGTTTTTCATCTGATCGTTTTTAAAAGCAACGTTTCACTAAAATTCTAACAACAAATGAATTTACCTTGTAATCGCCAGCACTCTATGACCTTACGCTATACCTTAGCCGATTTGCTTAATCCGTATTATTAGAAATTTCCAGGTCTATTGTCCAAGTTCAGTTAACTTAGAGAACACTTGCCGTAGTCCAATAGCCCGCTTCGAATTTGCTCAGTGCCAGGCGCGATATAATAAAAAGTTACGCCTCAATTGGAGACCTTCCTTTTTTTTTATAAATCCCATCGAGTTGATATGGCTCAAGATAGTTTCATGATCTAATTCATCTCTTAGGTCAGTATAAAAGTGTTTGCCGGCCGTGTATTTCGAAAGTGTCTTCAGGTAATCCGCATTGACCCTGAGGTCATCGACCGGAACGAAGCACATTTTCCGGTTCCATGATAACGAAATTTTCTGGCACGGTTCGAAACAGCCGTGAACACTTTTTTGCTGGGATTCTGCTGTCTAAAGTGATGTCTAACAACAACGCTAAGTGTAAAAAACGGGAGCCGATTGTTTATTTGCGTAGCAAACCGCTTTTAAAGAAGTCGTGTACACCATACATAATGGCACAACTTTCCGGCTCTGCGCTAGCGGTTTTTGAATCTCTGCAAAAAAATCTGGCAGGTGTGGGAAGGATACCGCTTTATAGGGAAGAGAAAACGCATGCGAACAACATGGAAGTAAAAAAGTTGTGGAGAGATAAAGGGAAAGCAAATCCACGACTGCTTTCACCATTGCTTTTCTAACATTTCAATAGCTAAGTAAGACTGCTCTGTAGATATATTTCAGCAATTTTTCGAAATTAGCTTGCTCGAAATTTGCTGCTTTTTAAATTAATTTTGGAAAGTATAGGTTTGAAAATGATGGTTTATGATTGCTATCACTGTATGAACATCTTCAAATGTTTGTATTTCTAGAAATTTACTTCGAAAATGCTTGATACTCGTCTTAAAACATTATCTTTGAGTATACGAAAGGAGTTGGTAGATCTGGTCACACAACTGGTCCGCCCGATCGCAACATTCCGGTTTTTGCGCAAGGTCCATTTCGACATTTCAACAGCCTTGTGTATTGGAAGATGATCTATAAATCTAAAAGGCGTCATGGTTGAAATTATTCTTGTAATCTTTAGTATGCTCGATTAAATGTAAAACGCCTTAAAAAAGTTGGAACAGTTGTCATAGACTAGTATGGTTTTGATTTGTTTTGTTTTGACTGTAAATACGTATGTATTTTGTAACTACGTAGGCTTGCATACGTGCCATTTCCTGATTCACTATTTACCATTTGTTAGGCTGTCCAGACCTATTTATCCGAATAAGAAACTTGGCGAAGAATTGAATTATTCAAGATAGAAAAACTATGTTTTGGTATATGTTAAATGTCCTCTCCTTTCTTACTCACACGTTGAAGCCCGCGCTTCGGTACTTTTTTAATAGTTGTGTATTTATAGTCTGTATCACCATACTTACTCTCGCTATCAATCGCTCATGTAAACAAATCGATGAATATACGCTGCGTCAATTGTCACCCTATTTAGGGAACGGAAGCAATTAAAATCATAGGTATGTAAACGTAGAAAAGTTGGAGCTGAGGTTATTGCTTAATATTTTCCTCATTCATGGTTGCGATCGAGGTGAAGTCGTGCGTTGTCGTCAGGTAACCGTAATTTGTGTATTGTCGATTGCCGCGTTGCTCATCCGTGAGGCTTTCTAAGAATTCGAATTATCTGGCAATATCGATTGGTTCCTTTCTGTACAGCATCTCATTATGGTAAATGCCTCTAGTATTCATTGCAGGTATCAGAATCAGCTTGCGCTCGAATAGACCACACCACATCATTAGTGTTCTCGTTACAATGGCATCTCACGGGATTCGAGAAATCTCACGTTGAGCCGACCGGAATCATATTATCTGTTTTACTCCAAAAAAAGTAGACTTTCCAGCTGAATCGCTGCGGCATAGACGTTTATTCTGTCATCTTTGTCCGCCATTTACCTTCTTAATATAAGCGTACCATTAACGAAGTGTCCTGTTGCTCAAGGCCTCTTTGCCACCGTTTTTACCAATTTTCAATAAACTCTACAAGCATTTCATCATATTTGATATAAATATTTATTATATTCCGGCTGCTAATGACGCATAATTTGAAAGTTCTTCAGACATCCAGGTCAGCTAAGTAGCTTCGGACAACGCAAAGCTTTTAAGACTTGTCTTGCATCAAGGTTCTAAAGGATCTCATACAATGTTTGTTTTTTTCTGGTAGTATTTCTTCTCTATCACGCCGGATACCCAACGGTGGTAAGGGCTTATCAATAAAGTATTTGCACCGCATTTAATGCTGCTATAAAACTATATCTGTAAATAGTCTTCGTTCAATAAAAAAAGTATCTGAGGAACCGTTTAATAGCTTCCACCGATCATTCCACAATATATATATATATATATACAACCAAAAAAAGCACAACGCCCAATTTTACTTCAATAATGTCTAGAGATATAGTTCCTTGCAATAAAGTTTTAAGTAATAAAGACTTCGATTTAGTAGGTAAATATAGTTTTGGTGGGCACTTGGGTGAACTCGGACATTTTAGTGTCAGGAATCAAGTCACTATAAAGAGATCAATGCTTTCAACATTGTTAGTACGTGGTGTAGTTATGTTTGGCTAGTACGAGTGTTATTGCACTGAGTAGCTGAGATATACCCGATGTAATCGCTGCGATTTTTAGTTGTGAACATTAAATTTGAATCTTTCTTTAAGCTACAAAGTCCTAGGAGGAGAAGCTTCGTTTATACAAAATTCGCATTGATCGACTCTGTTGCGTCAGTCCTTTGCTTTCGACGTTTATTATGAAGATAACGCTTTGTGTAGGCCTGTGGTCGTTCCCTATGTAGTAAGTTTTGACACGTGAACACAACGTTAGCCACTTTTGCGTAGATGATATTTCATATCAACATAGGCATATATACATGTATATTTCTCTTGCTCACACATCGAAACTGTAGCCGATCAACTCTTTTCGTCGTAAAAGTTTAGTCATCGCAGACGGCTCAGCCCTTTTCTTGTTGATTTTTCTACCTTTAATAGATGCTATTCGACGCGATTACGAACGTTACATCGGGACATCCGGAAGCATCGTATGCAGCCGCAATGGCGAACACCCGCAGCAATCGGTCGCGAAGCAGACAGGATAATGCCACTACGACCGTTCTGCTTCATCACGCTAAAACATGCATCCAAATATCTACCCGCGTATAGACATATCGGTGCAAATCACCGCTACTACATATGAGAGAAAGCTTTCAGCAGCTTTTGACATGCATCGGCCGGTTGCAGAGAAACTTTTATCATTGAGAACCTATTCAAGGAAGCGGACGCCAACCGGGCGGAGGAGGTACCTTTGCTGTATCCAAAATGAAACCGTTAACTAACGGATAATTACTCATCGAGTAACTTTCTAGTTGTCCTTAACTGTGACGCATAATGGGAAGCAATTGCACGATTTCAAAGGGCGACAACGCGATATTATTATTTGCACATCATCATTTCACATGATTGCAACAGCACATTGCATGATAACAGTAATTTTGAGATATATTTAGGGACTTGACTTTGATTATGTTATCTAGCCGAAAAATCAATTTACATTCTAAATTTCGAACACTATAAGATCAGTTCAACGATAGCAAGTTGTATTTAACTTATTTACCTCTCGTGGAAGCTGATAGAAATAAATTTGATTTTAGCTATTGTTGCAGAGGCTATCTTTCCCGAATGGTGATGATGCATTTTTTCCTACACATTTATTATGATCAACCTGACGAAGGTTCAACGAAGAAACGATACTCAATGCAGGCCGCTTGATACTAAATAAGTACAACTGTAACTTCAAGACGTCGACAATCCTATTGACAGCTTTCAACACCTTTAATCAAATTACATTACACATAGAATAAAGAAAAAGATATTTTTACAGAGCATTTTACACTTTCTGTAGTCTCAGCACTAATAGTAAAAAAAGCATCACCAGATCTATTAATTCGTTCTACCACCAATCAATAACGGACAGTCTGTGCGTATGCGCAGGCAAGAAGTTACAGATAGAAGAACAACATTTGATGCTAGTTATTGTACGGGCATCATGTCGCATTCTACGGAAATGTATTGGGAGAATCGATAATTGTGTTGGGAGACATTTTGCTTTTTTCTTTTTTGTGTTCGCGGGAAAGGGCGCCGCATAAGGAAGAGGGCTCGCGCCCGAAAATCGCGGACAGAAAACGCAGGACCCAAAGCTGTCTTGTCATCATATGCCAACGACATCTCTTACGCGTCGTTTGGTCTAACCCGTGAACAACGTCTTTGAGGCCAACGATCAAACAAAGCCGCTACGGAAAAGTAGAAAGCGAGAACAACGTGATCATCATGTGGTTCCTGAGGAGACTCACTGTCTTCAGTTCGATGACTATCGCTATATATGCCCAGGGTAAGACCAGTGATTTAAGAAAAACCGGAAAAAATCGAATCGCACTTGCCTGTGGGTCGGAAAAATCATTTCCAACGGAATTGCAATCGTTCAGCTTTGTAATGGTTAATGATCGATCTGTGCGCTCTATGTGTTTTACTAAAAAATGTAGTATAAAAAATGCGTATAACTTATTTTATTGTAGACGACGCTTGACAAACCCAAACAATTACTGAAGCGGTACTGTGTGGCTGTCCGACTATGGTCTTTTTCGAACACTTGATTTACGCTCACCTGCAACTGAACAAAAGCAAGCATGACCCACTTCTCCAACTTAAGAAAAGTTGAACGCCTGTGGCAAAAATCGAATTTTGTTTCTTCTGATTCTTGATACAAATTTGGCAGGGTGCTTAACGTTATGTGCACGGCTGTTGATGTTATGTTTTTTATATTAGCTTCAAGTCTCAACATCTAACTAAGCTTTCGTCACGTATAAAAGCCCAGATGCCTCAGTCGGTTTTCACTCACATTAAAACAAACATTTAAACTTGAGCGGCAGGAAAGTTTGAAATCTGCCATAGCGTAAGCCAGAGGTTGCTCATTAATATCTTAATCTAAAGAAGTCTATTCTGCTATTAGCTTGGAACTGCTTCCTGCGTTCCGTTTCTTACATTGAGACCTACAACTATATGTATGAGCTATACAACTCAGGTAAGCTGCGGAAGTAATATTTATCTACTTGCGTTCGTACAAATGCAGAGCAATGCGGTCAGAGCCCATATAGTGACGTCGAAGTGGAGCGAATCGTAGGCGGTCAAGAGGCCAGTGCCGGCGAATGGCCATGGCAGGTAGGCCCACTAAAGCCTTGTATATCGGATTTCTATAGATTATAGCTATTACTCGTTTATGCCTGTTTGTATGCAATTAGATCTGGCTAAACTGGCTTTGGTTTATACATAAGTGAAACTAAAAATTCAATAGCATCGAAGGTTTATGCGGGTGGCGAATGTCAGTTAATGACACCGCAATAAATAAAAATAAACTAGGCGTCGAGTCTCGTAATCTTGGCGTGACCAGCATTAGTAAAATATTTAGGCAAAATCAAAAGTCAAAGAACTCTATTTAGACACCCGATATGAAGGAATCGAAACATTTAACGAGGTGCGTACGAGTGAAAGCGAGTACGTCACTGGCCTTCTCATCACTTGATAAGTAGCATTGCAGTTGCTTGCTAAATCCAAGACCGCTTTTCTTGGTAACTATATGCACTTAAAAAAATAAGTGAAGAATTCATTTATTGTCCTACGCACACGATTTATAAGGCCAATCAATTAGTCTGCATCGATCATTACAGTTGTCATATTTTTTGCGTAGGTTTCCCTTCGGCGCGCTGGTCGTGATGGTCGAACTCGTCACTTCTGCGGCGGAGCACTTTTGTCGGATCGATGGATGGCTACTGCTGCTCACTGTGTTGTTAAGTATGCGTTCAGGTCGCAAACGTAAAAGTACTTGAAGTATACTCTAGGCTTAGTGAAGGTGATTTGTATGTACTGTATGAAGATCTTCTAAGAAGCAGTCTAAAGCGTGTTGCTTTGTTAAATACAAAACGTTCATAGCCTGCTAACTGAGATGGTTACTTCATTTTTTGCGAATGGTTCTATGGTTCGTTTCTGTTCATTTAGCAACTACGGCGCAGTCGTTTCACCTGCCTCAACAATAAAAGTTCGTGTGGGGGAACACGATCAGAACGTCCTCGAAAACCAGGAAATTCAGGTTGATGCTGGCAGTATTTTCAAGTATCCCAGTTACCAAGGATATAATTATGACGTCGCTCTTATTAAGCTATCTAAAAGGGTGCGTCTAATAATTGTTTGTGTTTTCGATTTGCATCTCGGTTTTTGTATGAACAACTCTGAACATTGACCGAAACTAGTTTAGCAGAGAAAGACGTAATTCTTTTTCCTGCCTTTTTAAAGCCAACGCCATTCTTACATACATAATACGATAAAAAAAAGAACGAGCTTTTTTATCTTGTTATTCTTAATAGGTTCGACTATCTCCTCGAGTGAAACCAGTGTGCTTGCCTAACACTAGCGATGATTTTGAGGGCTCCACTTGTGTTTCTACTGGTTGGGGGGCTACGACATCGGGTGGAGGAGCTCCCTCATCGGTGCTCCGAAAGGTAAATTGAATGAGAACTCCAAGTTTCACCATTTAACTTGCCTTACTTATGAATCCAACTCAGACATTTGAGAACTCCAGCTAACGAGTTAGCCAAGCCAAATTAAATAACAAAACGCTAAGCATCTTTATTAAATACACAATTCGAGATTAGTCTGGTCGAGCGGTAGAAGGTCATAACTTACGCATTGTTCGAAAACTTCCATGTTGTTATGTCCAATTTAGGTGTCAGTGCCTGTATATAACAACAACGTTTGTTCCGGGCCGTATCTGAACAAGTTCCGCATCACAATTCAACCATGGCACCTTTGCGCCGGTGCTCTCGAAGGCGGACGGGGCTCTTGCTATGTAAGTTGTCGTCTTCCTTGTTTGCATCTTTGTTGATTTGAGTGCATCCAAAGCGAAATAATACAATAAGCAATATTTCAATTATCCAAATATATATGATGATATTGCAACGATGTAACACCCTACAAATGTGTAAATTTTATTTTTTGTTTGGCATTTATTACTTAAGGCAGTATGAAAGTGATGTAAGCTGACCAAACTTGGCTTGAAAAGTACGGCAACTGATACGATTTTTTGTGCGTCTATACAATACAGGGTGATTCCGGTGGGCCGTTCCAGTGCCGCAAGTCCGATGGCCAGTGGTATTTAGCCGGATTGGTATCGTTTGGTTCGGGTTGCGCTCACACTGGATACCCGGATGTCTACGCTCGCGTAACGCACTTTCTAGACTGGATCAGAACTACCATGTCACAAAACTAGATAGAGGAAGCTAAAGGCAATTGATTGAACACCATAGCTGAGCTCGCACCAATATCAATGCGAGGTTTCTGCTCTTGGATAGACCATCGAGGTGAAGAGGCGTAGCTTGATACTTTACTACGCACAAAAAACAATGGAGCCCGGGGCTAGGTATGATGGGCTTCGAATATAACGTCGATTGTTTATTAACAAAAATAAATAACATATTTATTTAGGACAAAATACAACGTGCGGGCCCATGTAGTTAGATATACAATTGTCTAAATGTATGCTATTTATTTGGTGTCTTATAATAAAAAACATTTTAAATGCAAAAACAATGCTTGTGTAACTTTATTTTAGGCTTCTTCCAACCGGACAAGAATATGAAGATGCAGATTTGCAGAATATCTGAGACGAGCTTTCTGTTATTTGCGGATCGAGGCCTTTCTGGCATTATCTGAGAAGTCTCGCTCGTCAAGCATTTCCAAACCAGTATGGATCTGAAGCTGGATGGGTTATAAAGCTATATATCTACAGTTATTTTAGGTCATCTTTCTCAAGGGGTACTGTTTAAGACGTTTCAATCCTTAATTTATTTTTGTATGAGAAAAGGAGCCAATTTTAGAATTGCTTCCATACAGACTACATATTTCCATTGAGTACTACTTACCTCAATGACCAATGACGCTTTCGCATCTTTTTACGTGCAGTCATATGCATCGTAGTGCCTGTAGCTGAATCTTTTACTACATAATGGCTAATAGCGTTTCCGGACGTAGTAAACTTCGAGATGTCTAATTTTAGTAGCGCTATTTTGTTGTCAGTTCACTATTATTTAAAAGAAAACGAATGCATATTTTAATAATAATGTCCTTAGTCTAACTCTAGGACTATATATCCAAGCAAAGCAAATTGGAACAAGCTTTTGGTTTCCTACACCTTGTTGTACAATGTAATGCTTATTAAAGCTGGCTTGCCACATTTAAATAGGTATTACATTAAACAAAGTTTAGACGAATCATTTAAATTATTAAAACACCAATAGATGCTTGTGCCATAAGAGTTGCGTTCTTTATTTATCGCTGTTATGATTAGTCTCAATACATTTAATTCGCTCCTCGTAATGTCTCCTTATGTGTCATAGAATCATTTCATATCGTTGTATTATCGTACGCTTCCTGTTATTGCGTATACATCTTTTTGTTTACTTCGTGTTGTTGTTGTTGTTGTTGCTATTATGCTTGACGTTTTTCCTTTTTTCTTTGGGCTTTCCACCTTTTGTGAGAAGATTGCTGCTTTTTATTGTTTGCTTCAATATGTGTATGTCCATGTTATATTTGCTACTATATTGTTTTACCACACGAGTACGTTTCAATTGTCGGTTACACGATCAAGTTGAGTCGTCATCAATCCTTATGATCTTCGCTATAGCTGATATAGTGAAGAGTCCCATTTTTTTTTTCGAACTTATCTTTTGTCCGAAGTCACGAAGGTGATTCTCTGCCTGGAACTCCCTGCGATATTCTTTGCGTATTTACATTTTTATGCTTAAAAACTAATTCTAATTTCTGTTGTCCAATTAAACTCTGAAAAGAAAACACATTGAGGAAGTTATGACCCGTCAAACGCTTTTGAGTCACCCTGTATCCTTGACTGTTGCTCTCTGGTAAGGCGATGCTCCATCTGGTACATTGTTTTTGGATTTTTTGTTTTCATTTGCACGAGGCAAACCTTTGACACGAACGGTGCATGGTACAGCATGGTATCTGCAAGGCAAACTACGGTGACTTGCAATACTGCCTCTTCCTAGGTTTCTCCAATTCTAAAAAAAGGATTCTTAGCCACTGGTGCTTGGTTGTCTTAGCAATGGTAGGCGATCAACTTTCGAAAGGGCGGACGCACTTCGCTAACATTTTATTGTAATATCTATGTTCTAGCAAACACGGATGCCGTTGTAGAGATCTTTCAATTCGTCAGTCTGTCTTTTATAGACAATTGCGATAAAAAACGTTTAATGCTTGATTTTAAAAGCTAATTACAATATTGATAAAAGTGCGAACAGAGCTCAGTGGGTCTTTTTACCGAAGACTAAATAAGGTGTTCATTTTGAAATAACCGGACTAGAGCTGTTACCATTAGCGGCTGTCAATAAGCCCCATGTCCCCATTTCTGAGTGTCCACAGCTCAAACACCACCACTATTATCATATCTTATTCCAATTTCTCAGCCCTACTACCTATCAAGCTGTGATTTTTCTTTCGGTCATTAACTATTACAACAATCTGAAACAAAAGGCTTTTATTTCCACTGTTTATTAATATTATTTAACACGAGGCGAGGCATACAAAATCTGTTAGAACTATATAGCCTCACTAAAACCTAATCAAGTCTATTACGCAATAAATAACCACTCTCGTGAATTCTATCAATATCTTCATCGATAGGCACAATTTAATTAGGCGTATCATGCAAGCGACTAAGTTGACTCGCGAATGCACACTTGTTTAAATGCTACTAAGCAATAATAGTTAGCAATAATAATATATAATAATAAACTTAGCCAGTACCAGTCTATTATGAGATTCAAAAGTCTACAAGGAACCTCTTAAGACCGGTGTCTGCACAATTTCTCCGAACTGCCCTCTGAAACTGTGCGGAGTAGCTTCCATGTTGGAATTGACGAAACTTAACAGTTTCTTCTATCTAGAATACAGGCGCATATTACTAGCTCAGTTATGTTTTACTTTGTACCAACATACATACCATCTTCTGATTCACAATCATACTCATCACAAGCCCATGCACGCTAACGCCATCGCCTTAAATCTGCCTATTTCTTACCCATTAGCACATGTAGCTCATACTTGAACAATGGGGTTCCGTATAACACATAGATGTTAGAGTTACCTGAACTGCCTGTTCCTATTTTTCGCTAGAACTAGCTCTTTCACGTATTCATGAGCGTAACACATTGACGTCGGTTGGTGTCTGCTCCCGAACCCCCAATTCTGGCACCCTTACCTCTACAGCCGTTTTCTGCTGAGGGAGAGAATTCCCAATAAAGCATACCTCCAATACGGACTCATAAGCGACCATAAAGTTAATTTATTGTCGTAGTTTTTTTTTTTTTTTTATAATACACGGGCACACTATCTATATGTGTGTATATATCATTATACTTCTACATAATATATATATGCATATATATGCATACATATATGATGATGATGATGGTGTGTCTGTGCTGAGAACGTCTGTTTTATATTTGTGACGTTTTAATAGTAATTGATTATTGTTTTGCCTCTGCGAAACTCTTCGCTGAAATCGCTGATACTCCTGATGCGGTCGTCGGCTATAATAATTATATGATGATGATGTTTGTTACATTTTGCTTCTCTCCTATGCGTTATATTTGCCACTGTCAATATTTTCTCATGTTCTGTATTTATTCCTGTTATGCGATAAGTCTCTTTTCCTTTTAGCCCTTACCTTCAGCCCTTCCTCTTAACTAACGTACAGTTTTCACTGGAACAGCAGCAGCGTAGACTGTTTTCTCTGAACCCACGTTTCCTTTGTGGTTATGTTTCGATCTGCCCCAACATCCCATGTTTCTTCTGAGACCAAGGCTAGGGTTTCCTAACTAAGCATATGTTGCTTTCGTTATTTCCTCCGCCTCCGCCACCTTATTTCAGCGTCTCCACCAATTAGACTTGGGTGGTATAAACATTTTCGTCGCGACCATTCCCGGCACGGTGCGGTTTATTGTCGGTCTATTTTCTGTTCGTATTACACATACACACAAGCGCGCACCAACTTAACATCGATCAGTAGTGCTTATGGTAGTAGTAAGTTGCCCCTCCGCTATCATGATAACGCCATAAAAATGTACTAATAAAGCCACTCTAAATACCATCGGGCCATCATCTTTTATCCACTCTTTCCTACACGACTACACCTTCTTACATATCGTCATCTTTGATTTGGACAAGCTGCCCCGTGGCGCCATTGCTGCCTTGTTCGTTGGACAGGTGCTTCGGGTATGAGCCAGAAGTGAAGCAAAGTTTTAGCAAAAAGGGGAACGGTGAAGCGGGCGACTGAATCGGAGCGTGGTTACAGATGACCAATGCTTCAGTTGCCTGCTGAATCGTCTCGAATTCGAGCATACCCGTCTGGCTTTTGAGGTTCTTGTTCTCGAACATAGTCACCTTCACGGGCGGAGTTAGATCCTCTTTGCTAAATACATCGCGTAGCCGATCGTCTGTTACGTCGCTAGGCGCATTGAAGAAGTGCAGCGTGTTCGACGGTGGCCGAATGCGGTTTTTGGCAGCCAACTCCGAGTTGCTAAAACGGTTGTTGCGGCTTTTGCTGAATTCGCGGAATGAAGGCGTGCCATCAGGCAGGTCGTAAGCTTTTACTTCTTCGTGCAGGAATGGTTGCTTGCTGAAATTCACCTGAAGTGTCTGATCGAACAAGACCGACGAGTGCACGTTTTGTACGGCACGCTCCACAGAGGCGCCGTCACCCATTTGTACCATCGCACAGCCAGGCTTGCTGCGTAGGAACTTCACGCGGATGACGTTGCCATAAAGACAAAACAAGTTAAACAGATGTGAGGTATTGATTCGCGGAGCGAGACCGTACACCATAAGGACACAGCCAGCGTTGTGCATCGGTGGTGGAAGTGAGTTGAAATTGCCGGGCGGTCCGGCCAGATTGCGGCTAGCGAAGTCATCTCCGCCTCGCATACTGCTGCCGTCCCTTCGGTCGTAGGTAGCCACATCTCCACGTCGATCACCATAGCCGCCTTTAGCACCCATGCCTCCTTGGCCACCGTGGGCGGCCCCATAGTGCTGGTAGTCGAATCCGGCGCTGTCGGGCCCACCCGGAGCTGTTCCATAGGCACCTGCGCCATTGCGGCTACCTCCCTGCGGCTGGCCTACCTGACTTCCACGGCCATTTCGACTGAACGCCGATCCGTCATCGTAAGCTCCACCATATGGCGGTCCTCCGCCGGCGACTACGCCGATCAAACCGCTTGGCGTACAGGCACCTACAAAAGCGCTGTTGCCAGGCATTGGAGGTGGACCTAGGAGCGCGGCCTTGTGACGGCCTGTGGTCGTGAAAAAGTATACATCACGAAATACAACGTCGGGTTAAGGTCGTTCATACCAGAATTCGTCGTAGATGGTGCGGTCGACCGATGCAACATGAAACAGTTCGAGAAACACGCACATACAAATACACAAGCAATACACTTCGTTAAGATTTACGTACAAATCACAACTGAGAGGTTTATGAATAATGACTTGTCTATCTCATTAAAATTAATATATTAGGAGTATATCCGTCTCACAACTTAGCCGAAGTGTTAACGATATTGAACTGAAAGACAGAAAAGAGAATACCTAATAGAAAAATATCGATGGCGCAGCACATTTCGGTATGAAACGCCATTGGCCTACGAAAATCGAGTCGAGCGACCACTCATCGCAGATTATTTTTGGACCTAACGAACCACTAACACTAGATCGTTACGAACTAAGACGCACTTATTAGTAACTGATATTTATTACACGTTTTGTGTGGTTTTTTTTTATAGACTCCATAATAAATAATTGCATTAAGAATTCGAACGCTAAGTTAAAGACGAATACATACCTATTATAAACGATATTTCCAGCCATCAGATTTTTTTTAACAAACCGTTGGCACTACTAGGTAAAAGCATAGTTCAAAACACGTGTGTAGATGTGAAATAACAAACTGAAGTCACCAAACTCACCGGGGTCCTTCTCCTTTCCATCGAGACATCCCGTGTAGTCCCAGGTGTCCTTATCGTTCTTGTAGACGTTTAACTTTGCCGGCTTAGCGAATTCAACCTTGAGGGTGCAACAGCCCTGGTAGATGTCAGCGCCATCAAGCTCCATTCGAGCGCGTGTTGCCTGTTCAATCGATTCAAACTCAACCAACGCCTGAACCCCATTCTTGCGGAAAATGACAATACGCTGCACGCGGCCGAGCGGTGATGAGATCTTATGTACAACCTCTACGTCAATCGGGTAGAGGGCATTGCGAATCGTCATTAAAACGATATGATTCGGCTTGAGCGGTTCTGTCCGCTGGCGTTTGGGGGCACGCCCATTACCGTCTTCGAGATCAAATGGCATTTTCCTTCGCTTCGTCTGTCTTCCTCTTTGGAATTACACGAAAAAAACGAGGCCTCGTGCACGTGGCCGTCGACAACACCTGTATCTGCGTCCCCGAGCTATGTGTTCACTGAACCGCGCAGCACAATCAGCGACAGTTCTTTTCGGGGGAGTTTAGTTGGGAGTCCCTTTGTTCTTTCTTACTTTCTCAGAAGTCCCACGGTGCCACACTTAGTGCCACTTGTTGTTGTTCTTGTTGTTGTCTGTCGTTCGTGTGTCTCAGGACCCCAACAGCTCGTGGGCACCTGTTGTCTGCTTTCAACCCCCGAAACAACAACACACTCACAATGTCCTTTGTGCTTTCTTTCTCTTTGTGCTTTGGCTCTCTTTCTCGCAGTTGTTGTAGTTGTTGGCTGTTGCTGTTCGTTGATTGATTGTTTTCAGTTAATCTGGCTGATTTGTTGTTCTGGGTTCAAATAGTTGTTGTTGTTGTTGTTAAACTTGTTGCTGTTAGATGGATGTTGTTGGATGTCGATGGATGTTGAAAAACTGGATGATAATTGATTGGTGAGAGATAGGGTTGGTTGATTAGATTGGCTGTTGCTGTGAGTTGGGTTCGTTCGATGTTGGTTGTGCTCAGATGGTGTTCACAACTCAGGCGCATGTATGCCAACACCCCTATCCCGATCGTTCGTACGTCACACACGTGTTCCACTGTAACGACAGAGACATCAATAATGGAGACAAAGATCGAACACGCGTTGGATGATGATCGTTGTTGGGTCTTTTTCTTTCTTTTTAATACTGATTCTTTGTTTTTTTTGGTTCTAACTTTTTATTTGGCTGCGTTGCTGCTCAATCGTTGTACGTGAGTGAACATTAGTGATATATATATACACATATATATATAGTTTGAGCGAAGTGAAAAGAGCTCGTTCGTTACTAACATATACACAAGCATATATTATCGGAAGGATTGCAAAGATTATCCTTGTATAATTAAAACAAGGGGACAATTTCATGTTTCATTTAATGTTGGCTATTATTTATACATTTAGGCTAGTCAACTTACACAACCGGATCTCGTATATATTTTAAGAAGAAAAGACGAAATGGCCCAACAGCACTATTACTAACTGCAGGATGGTTGCGCAATTTACACATTCATAGCACAGCCAGATCCATCAGTATAGAATCGTATTGGCTATGTAGTTCTAAAATCAGTTATCTCGAGCTCGTTTTCTAAAAGCAACTTGAACGCGTCTGTAGTTCTTGTAAAGAGAACAAAATATAAGTGAACAATGTTATCAGACTCTAGTATCGTATCGGTGGTGTCGTTGTAATTGTGGGTCACACCTGTATCTTCATCACCTACAGTCCTGTACAGAATAGTATTACGTTGTCCGTCTCATCTGTCACCAGACTTTTCGCATCTGCTATAATTGGGGTTACTATTATATTGCTCCGGAAAAACAAAGCTAATTTTCCAGAAAATATACTTAATATGACTCCAATTTCCATGCTTCTGCCTGAGTATGTTTATGCTAGGAAAAATATATTGCCCGAGGACATATACTAACAAAAAAAAAGTGAAATTCAAGTTTTCTAATTAATCAGAAGAAAAACTCGCATGCAATACTGACAATGCTGGGATTTAGAACTGCACATCAGCTACCAATATTACACTTGTATATCGACCCGTTCATTGGGTACAAATGAATATACACAGACGTAATCTTCAGTATTTGCAACTATAATGTATACTGGGTATAAAACATTACATTCGTCAACATGAGAAGCACCACTTGCCTTTTTATTTAAACCCATTTTCGCTGCCAAGCTAATTGAAACCATGATGCATGCCACAGTGTGTATACCACACAGCATTTTCTAAAAATCTCAAGCATAACGGTGAGTGCTCGATAGCATTGCAGTGCAGTATGGTTAAAAGCGAAATACAGGATGTGTTGAATAGTAGCACACACGAGAAGCAGCAGCTGACGCTCAGCTCATCGCTACTATCCGTCTGTGTCATCAGATCTGCGTCATAAAGGCGGTTGGTGGTCGAATAGGCGCAAACTGGTGACAACAACATTCAACGCAGGAAGACAACACATGTCAAATCTTGAAATGGCGAGCATCGCGCGCACGCTCTTACCGATGCGCGATTATTAGTCAACAAACCTAAACATTAGCTGCTAGGATCGGTTGCGTATATCCACTTGTCGGTGGTCTTCCAAACGCTATAACTACCTGCTGCTTGACCTGCTAAAAGGCTTCACCTCAAATTACACTGCGGCCTGCAACATATAACGTGAGATCTATATATATATACACTTTCTGTGTATGTGTAACAGTGAGAAGCATTCTAGATGTTGCGCGGAGACTGTCGTATTCATTTTTAGTTCTATTGGATGATGCAACTGCTCTGACAAAAATGGTACAATAAGCGTGTTTACCGTAAAACACTTCTGAACCTGGCACTAGCGAAACTTTCGACATTCCAATTGGATCAATCTACTAGGTCGCAATAGGTGTATCCTGGATTTGTTCAAATAAGAAGGCTTATATACAAGCCACCAAAAACAACGGGTTTCAATATTTTTCTATGTTTCCCTAGGTAGACTCAGCCAATGTGTTACATCGATCGGCAATACCATCGATCCTTTACTTGTAATGGGTTAGGCCAACGATTGCGCAATAATAGTGTACTCAATCTAGGCAACGAAAGTAAACCCACGACGCCGGTGTAAGGTCAAAAGTAAAAAAGTAATGATAATGGCATCAGTGCTTACAACAAGAACCATTAGCAGGACAACACTAAAATGGCATAAATTTACCAATATTAACGCTGTTTGAATAAACTTTGTTTAGAAACGATCTCAGTGAAGCCATTTTAATGTAGAGAACAGCGACAGGTACCATGTTTGAATGTAAATGCCAATAACACAGGAGTTTCTATTTATATAGCCATAGATCAAAGACCATTGAGCTTTACCGACCGTTGGATTCTTGATACCATAGATGTTAAGATTTACAGGTACAACCTCGAAGTTGATTTTCGTGTTCACCAACAGTCGGTAATCTACTACTATTTCTGTGAACTACCGACTCATCAACACGAATCCGACAAAAGTTTATGCTTCCCCATCCATTTGATTCAATTTACTAGATAAATGAGTGAACATAAAAATGATTCCCGTGACTTTTGTCTCAATAGCGTTTTTATAACATGTACAACCTCCAAAATTATCAATCACAAAACTTGAAGTATACCCCCAAGTATATTTATACATATTTTACAAAGAAAAGATCATTTTGTAAGATTGGATTATAGTTGTCCGAAATATATTTTGTGAACTTATCAATCTTAATGTAGAACAATCCAGTTGACTTCAAGGCACAGGAACAATGACAAAATCACTGTTAGATATCAGACGATACATTAACATAGTGACATCATATACACTAAATATACTATTATTAGGGTTACCTGAGTAACGTCCAAGTTCTTAGTCGTTTCTTGGCCCCACGTTCTCCCACCCCTTGCACTGTGGCAAAGCTTCCTTCTATCCTATATCAGAGACAAATATTTCCAGTTGTCTAGTTTAGACACGTCTAACGATTGGGCCAGTATCGTCGCACATTTCACCAATGTTTTACGGAAAAAAACGTGGCTCGACCTGCAAGCACGTTCTATGTAGTAAAACCATAAAAAAATAAGCAAAGGCCTTTGAGCTATCGGAATCCTGGTAGTTAAACTGATTTGATTCATCCTAAATATTCGGGCAGTAACAAACACCGATAAGAGAAAAAGCCAATCTATCTCAAGTGACACCGCAACATCAACAGCGTCCATATATTTGTACCTCAACAAGTACCTGTTTGGCGCATTTTAATCGTGCAAACTACGTAACGCAGGCATAGCTTGCTAATTACTACGATAAGATGGAGGTAAATGGTAAGTACTATCTTCCGTAAAATGTTTTACAAGCCCAAGTGACTTTATTCCACCCAAAAGATATAAGGCGCAATAAGATTGTGCAGACCGTTTAATATTAGCGAAATTCTATAGTATATACAGATTGACTAACTAATGTTTCACTGGATTGCGTACGATCTCTCACAAATCCTTTCGCCACATACTGACATAAAGTACTTGTACTTACACGAGACTGATTTTATTTACAATACCGTTACTTTTAATGGACATTAAAATGGAAACAGTGCGATAATTAAAATTAAATCGAATTAATTAAACTAAACTTTTTCTATGAAATATTAATTATGAGTAAACTTAGTACTTACGAAAGTAGTAAGCAGGTCCAAGCTTCTAACCCATTATCACTCTATACGAGAAATTTGCAGCTACTCAATTTTTCCTTGTATTGCCTAAATAATGTATCTGGCCGTCAGTTGGCAGTTATTCTTTTTCTTTTTACACGCACTAGTTTACGATGTATCGCCTCGTATATGAACGGCCCAACGCATAACTGTTGAATAAGACCAAGAAGCCTTTCTTCGTGATAATAATCAATATACGGCTGTTTTGTCGGTCGGTGCAAAAATTGTCGTAAAAAGTTAAGTGCATCTGCTGTTACCTTACAAGTGGATAATTCCGTTAGGTTAATGAAGCAATAACAAAAGTGTAAAATCTAGAGGATCGATACCCAATCTGACGTACAGAGATTTTTAGTTCCACAGAGAAGTTTAAACTAACGACTCAATTTGCACACAAAAAACACGGTTATTGAATTGATGTAATATAGAATTACTGGCCCAGGGGTGACAATATTATACCTAACAATCGACTGTCTGACTAAACGTTAGATGTCAAGCATATTTGCTAAATATTACTATAATATGGGATACTATAGGACTGATATTTTTCATAGTGTACTGTACATTTACTTTCAAAAATGCAATGCTATTTTTAGACACTATGACCACTCCATAAATACCACCACCATGGTAAATATATGAATTAAATATTACACACTGATCAAATCATATTTTGAACCGCGATGAACCTACAATAAATTCTTTAATGGAAATTATAAAAATAATGAAGATTAAAATATAAATTTTACCAAGTTTTGTGTTTTTTTTTGAGGGAAGGCTATTACTACATACTGCATCGATTGCTGGGCTCTGCCCTGTGCTATTTGATCGCTTTCCCGATGGAACCAAGAAAATGATGTACACGAGACGGCCGTTAAGACTACTTAACTTAGAATGTGTAACGCAGATGTGCTCATTTTTAAAACAGTATACAACTAATTGTCAAACGATACCACATAGCAACCCCGAAAAAGCAATTTTAACACCTACAAAAATCAGACAAAAATAATTTACTTACGCCTAATTAGAAGAAATTTGATCACACGGAACAGTGAAACCAATCTACCAGCTTTCCGCTTTAGGTATATTGAAAAAAAAACTAGAGAGCAGTAATAAACACAATATAAAAACCTACTCGACTCTTCATTAGTTAGACTACTTACATAATTTATATGTAAATTCATATTTTTCTGACGTTTCCTCCTCTAAATATTGTATTATACAGGTACATGCGTATTGTGCACGCTCATATCAACGCGTGTATTAGAGCAACTACCGTCGCAAATCTCTATGCAGTTACCGTCAACTTCTTTTCTATATCGCTACGGTACTACAGCACTTGCTATCTATTTATAGTTTTCGATCGATAAAAACTTATCATTGTTTGCCAACCCCTAGGTCAACATAATTGGAAACTAATATTTCACATAGTGCAAATCAATGGGCTCTTTGATCAAGTAAAAGCCATATCGTTTGCGTTAAACGTTAAATCGATTGCGCAGTAATTGGCGTCTTCCTCGAGATTCATTTACGCCTCCCAAAAATACGCCAGAGCTCCTTTAATCTACTCCTCTGAGTGCTAATAATATTTCCTACCTCACTTAAAATCCTTCTATACAATAGACAGCACCCATTCTTTCCATCTTCTACTCGTTGTTACCGTTGATCTCACCCGCTGGCAAGTTCCTCGTCGCATTTTCTTTCTATGTTTCACGTAGTCTGCCCCACTTTGTTCCTTAGCGTATTTACCATGATTAAGCTACAACTATTCCTCTTGGGACTCAAACCAGAGCACTCAGCCATGTTTTGATTTTTTGTACCTTTCGTGTCTATAATCGCCCTGCGTTAAGTGAGTGTGCAAAAATGCGCCGAACACACGTTTATAAACAGCCACTTGCTGCCGCTAAAATCGCTGCTGTCCGAAGTTTTATAAGCAAACTTCACTCAACATAGCTATCACTTTGTCGAAATATAACTATTTCTGGTGTCATTAGCCTCAGGAGCTGTCCATGCGTAATTAGCTACTTCTATTTACCGTGATGTCGCCATTATTACTATACTAGTACGATTACACATGAGAGCAGAACGAGAAATGAATGTTGCTATAACCTAAACAACGCAATAGTAATAGATAAAGCGTGAAACGTACGCCAAGCAATCTAGCTTGCTACACATAGCGAGTCCTTCGGCACCGCCGCCATCCCCACAGCGGACGCCACCGCTCGTTATGCGAACAGCGAATGAATCTGCATAGTACCATCAATGTCGTGGCAACAGAATAACAAGCAACTCCCTCGAATTAAATAATGGATCGGGAGACGCCGCACTTGTGCACGGACGGATGCACTCACTTTGTCATTACTCAGTCACAACTGCCTCACATTCCATAATACAGCGATACGCGGCTGCAATAGAAAGGTCCTTCAAAAAAGTTACAAGTAACTCGTGGTCGGAGTAACTTTCATTTAGAGTAGATGGGCATCGCCAAAAGCAACTGGACATTCATGCACGCTCACGTGCGAAAATCGACTATAGAGTCGCAGAAGTCTGTATACATCGGAATGTTAAAGAATTAGAATTCGGTAAACCTAACGGCATGAGACCCCTCTCCCCGCCCAAAACGCGTTGATCGCCCTAATTGGGAAGCAAACCACGAACAAATAACGAGCTATTGCTTGGTTATCAGTGCACAAAATAAACTATGTAACGCGGTCGACGTGATACATATCAGAGGTGGCAGTATGTGAACCCTCGTGTCAACGCCTGAACTTATCCATTCGCCAGTCTTCCGCTAGGCATTGCCGGCCTTCAATACGGCAACAAGCAGCAGGACAAGGCCGCCATTTCCTGACCCCAAAGCTCAGCAGTAAGCTCTCTTCCCGTACCATTCACCCTGCCACAAATCTTAGTTTTTTTCCCGTCGTACAGCACTTACCGAGAACACGTTAATGCTGGAATGTGATGGGCTCAACGCGCTGGAAACACAGTATTCGCAGGTAGAAATTGACCAAAATTCACCACTGCACACCACCCGGCGTCGTACTAGAGAAGAGACAAAACAAGATGGCGGCTAAGTGCTCAGAGGGCGCCACCGTTGCAACCGCGCAAGAGTAACTACTAGGTAGCTACCGTCAGCTATAAAAATTTTGAATTCGTCGGTGGCGCGAAGCGTAATGTCCGCTAGATAGCAACTGAGGCCAGCAGATATTGATGAAAAACTTGGAAAAACATCTCTGATAACGGCGGCAGAATACTGCCTGAGGTAAGCGTTTAGATAAAAATCACAATTTTTTTATTGTGTTTTTAAAAAAAATAAATGTAATTTCGGGTAGAGCGGTAGAGATGAACGCTTTTGTATAAGCAAACACTGGCGCGATAACTGATCCTCAATGCACACCGCGCTACGTTTCAACTGCGAGACATACAGGTAATTTTGTACGGCTTCTAAGCGGTTTAAGCAATAAATGACGTGCCTCTTGGTAGATGGGAGAGTAAATGTAGAGTGGATTGGCTTAGATTGTCCCATTAATCGGGTGGCAAGTTCATCGAAGCTTTCTTAAAAATCGAGTCAAAGGTTTTTACACGTATACGCGCATTTATACAGCATTTTTACTCCCATTATATGAAATTCCTTAATCGTTATCGAATGGCAGACGGTTAGATCGAACCTAAGGTAGCCCTAAATATCACAGCATGAGTTGCTCCATTAGTAAGTTTTATTTTCTGTTGAAAAACATTTTTTTTTGTTCATTAGAAAGACCTCGTAGTAATATTACAGTACTGATACCAAAAAAAAACCAAGTATAATAGTGTAAAGCGAGTGATGTGGCAGTAAAAAACGTAAACTTATACTCCCAGGTTATACGAAAATAGTCAATTTATCAACAATTCAAGAGCAAGGTATTTCAAAAACTCAAAATTTAGTTATTTAGACCTGCGACCTTTTTGTATATTAATATGAACGTTTATAAGCTCTAGTATATTTTATGATGAGTAGATTCGTTGTCTTAGTATAAGTTAATAGGTGTGCACCCTAGCGTTAACTAAACGCTTTCCAATTAACATTAGCAGAAGGGAATCTTGACAACATGTACGAGGAAAACTAAGTATACAATCAGGTGGAGGATCGAGACGGACATTCAAAGGCAACTTGATATATATATTCGAAACCGACTTTGCCAAACGCTAGAAGCTTAACAAGTAATGGTCAAGTTTGCTTTCATTCGAACTTTGTGCTATGCAATATATAAAATGATAGTTGTTAAAAACTGCCTCCACAGGCGTCATGATTATATGCAATGAAGACTTCCATATTATGCTGAAATACGGTAGGTGGAGCTATTTTTTGCTTATAAGCTTTAATTTCTATGTTTCATTTCAATAAATTAATATGTGATGTAAATTATTTTTCTTCAAATCAATATTGACACTACCGACTCAAGAAATGCAGTGGTTCCCGAGTTCATGTACTTCATTATAAATCTGCTAATGGTGATCATTATTTTGGAGATCAGACGTCTGCTGTCTTTAAAGTTGGTTATCCTGAAGGCTGTAAAAGTGTATACTACACATTTGAAGTGAGAATACAAATTCACATCTGTTGAGAGCTGCCACCTAGCCTTGAAGATTTTGTTCAAATCATAACAATCGTTTCTGAAGCACATGTGATTTACCAAAATTAACCTCGTAGAGACAATTTATCAATATTTTACAGATTACACGCGCATATGAAAGAGTTTACGATATTTCACGATCACAGAATGCTTCTTCAAACGTAAATTACCGCATCAAGAATTTGTTTCTCTAATTAATAAGACTAAGCAATCCACTTTGTGTATAGACCGTTGTGTATAATCCGCTTTGTATTAGTGTCCTTTATGAGTTTAGATACGGCATTTCAACACAATCTTCAAATCTTTTGCGGTGGAGTCAGCTCGCCCAGCTCAACCTGCTTTTTAACAAAAGCGCAGTCGCTGCGGGCACTTTCAAAAAGTTGCTCCTGAAATTGTGGCGCATTTATTTGCTAGTGTTACACTAAAGTGTGTATTGTGATATTATTCCTTATGAAATTAACCTTTAAGATTTTGCTATTTCAGTTTGAAAAAAAGAAAATTCATAATTTTCTTTTTCTTTTTTTCATGAAAGGAAAAGACTGGCTTCTGATACGTATATTTATAGGCAGCATCGAATTTTGCTGAGTGGATACTTCGTAGGTCTATAGTGGATTGCATATCATTTCGAATCTCACAGAAAATAGCGCTTCATAAATGGTTAGCATGAAATATGATTGCTTCTCACTTGTGGATACGTCCACATATTGGTGGCGATTCGTTGTTTGGCATGTTTTTCGATAACGTCAGTCTTGCTAGCAATCTCCATGTATCCCTCGATAGCTTATCTAAACGGGTATGTTCTCTCGGTGATGTCGTCAACGCCTGTAATAGTTCGCCATAGTGCAAAAGTTACATTGGTTACTTTGTCCACATTCAACAAAATATGACCCACGCTCCATGGTTATGTATTAGCCACTATGAAGTGAGATCCTTCCAATCCTACTTATAAAGCATTTAGGTTAGCATTTTTATCTTCACACTATACGAAAAAATTTTTTTGTCAGATTTGATGTATACTTGAAACCAAGGAGTCCTAATGTGCAAAGAAGGTTTTTGAAGTGGGCCTTCGGTCAAGACACGTGAAATTTCATGAATTATCAAAAAATAGTACGTGTGCAAGACCTTCGGTGAGGAGCCTTTGGCCGAACCAACTTTCAAGCTGACAAATTTGCGGGTACAACCTGCCGTGCCTCTGCCAAGAATTGACTGTCAGCTTTGGTTACACAAACAAGGTTACACACCTGCGTTAGTAGAAAAAAAACATTGACTTTATGTTCTATGTGCCATTATGCGCTAGATCAATTTATCGCCTTTCATTTTAATTCCGGAATTCACCTAATTCGCAGTTCAATTACCTTTAACCTCACAATTTTGTTTCATATATTTGTTCATTATAATTACTCACATAAGAAGAAGGAAGAGTTGGTTCGTTAATGAATGAAAATGTCAATTCTCAGAAAAAGTTGAATATTTTATATATAAAAAAAAAAAAAAAAAAAAAAAAAAAAAAACTGTTTTCCAGTAACTCTGCGCCATCAAGCAACATTTTTCCTAAAATCTGGGCAGTATTTACTTTCATGTTGGATATGCGGCATGTATTTTTCATGTATATTTTAATAGGTCCTTCTTCAATCAATAGGTATCATATTTAGAGTAGGGCGAATCAACATTCCCATATATCTTTCGAAAAATGAAAAACCATTAGCTGCTACTAAAAAGTCCCTAAACTGACCATTAAAATGCATATCAAAAACGTTCAGATTTTCAGTCCAGTTAATAGGTCAAGGCTCTTAGGCTTCTAAATGCGCATATCTATGTAAATACAATTATATATATAATTATTATATATATTTTTATATATAATTATAGTCTTGAATGCTTCCAGCTCATCAGTTTCACGTGATAGTTTATCATAGAACCGTAAAACCATTAATAATTTATTGCTAGTAACTCTATAGTAGATTATTCTGTACAGAGCAGTCAGCTGCTAATTCAGTGAGTAACCGCCATAAGACAGAAACTTTGTTATAAGACACAAATTTCCTTCTGCTAGTATATATTTGCACGAATTGTACATAGTACGACATAACTATACGTAAAGGACAAGTAAATCAAGCGGTGTTGGTATGCTTCAATCATTGGTGGGAGAGGGGTTCGGGGAATAGATAAGGGTCGTGGTCTTTGTGCTTGATATGCATTATTTAAGAATCCAACTTACCTGAAGAAATGAGTAATAGTCACACGTATCCCGTACTTTAAACCCGGGTTGCCCCGCGTCGACAGTTTCGATTAATGTTTTTTTTGTTCAAATGATCGACAATAAAAAAAAAGTTCAAAATGGGTAAATATTCATTAAATTAATCATGTGCTCTTACCATTTTTACTGTATATCATACCAACGGTATTCTGATATTACTATTAGGTAAGCAGAACATTAATAACAAGAAAAGTAATTAACTTTATACACTCACCTAATCGTTTCTTCGAGCTGTATGGAATACGACGCTGTCTTATACACCTGCTGAGAGCAGTTGAAAAATAATTGTAAGCATTGGGATTCCTTAAAATCAGCAAAGTCAAGACTGTCGGTGTGAAATTCAGAGTTCTCGCAAACTAGAAAGAAAGAAGTCTTATAGGATCTCCTGGGGGGTATGTCTAATTCTGTATTGTATTTTATAGAACTTCAAGGAAAAAAGAACTTCATCATTACTACGTAAATATTATACCAGCCACTATCTACCAAAAATTAGAAAGTATCATTTACAGCTATTATAAGTTGCCAAGAAAGGTAACTGCAGTACTCTTTCTAAAACACAAGCCATCTGAAAAATACTGTTTAATTTTAAAACTCCAGTCTAATAAAAATGACTATTTTTTTCGCTTTTACCCCCTGCGTGCCTGTTCCAAGGATGTTTTCTACGTTACGTTAAAAATCACAAAAATATCCTGCCGATGAATTAACTTCGACAACTAGATATGTTTAGCATAATAATATGTGTATTTCATTGTACTTAGCAATGACTTCTGTACGAAGCGATATAGAAATTGTGTTTTCTAGATGCCTGGTCCTGTCGAATGTAGTCAAGAATCAAGTTTTGCGCTTTCTATGAAAACATCGAGCAAATAATATTCACAGATTATTTAAATGGCTTATGTATATAACATTGAGTTAATGAAGGGTTTGAATTCAATTCAACAATGCATTTACTAAGAGAAAGAAATCAATTAATTTTTATATTTCTTAGGTAAGTAATAATCCAAGATACATCAGTTGATTGGTTTAACTCACTTTTCCGTGTCCAGAATTTTCAAGGTTCAATAGGTGTGATGGGTTGCCATAATTTCGTCTAGAGGAGCAATGTGGTTCTGGAAATGACTTGAAGTACTTAACTTCCGGATGGTTCCCCCTGAGTCGATGTCTCTGCAAACACGTAATCAAGAGACTCATTCTCTGAATTATACTATATATTTATTACTACTTTGCCACGCACAATTGTATAATAAATATTTTTCAGTAATTAAAGCAGCAGTTTTTAATGGGACAGACAAATTTTTTTCGAACCCGTTTGTCTTACATTTAATTAGGGCTTCGCGCCATTTGAAGTTTGAATAGAAGGCAGACGGTCTTTAATCCGTTGGAGTGTAACGAACATGGTTAAGAATCTCTGCTTAAGTTTGTCCGCATGAGATGGAAAATACAAAAAGCTATTGTTGGAGATTTGTATCCAATTTCTGTTGAAAAATAATCCGATTTTCTGCAGGACTCCATTATTTTCGTTTGTTTGCATCTGAAGGCGATCGTAATTCTATTAAAATATCGTTATTCACAGCTATGCTGCATGGAACCGTTTACATGCAATATCTCGCTACTTTTGGATCTAGATACATTTTCGCCGTATACGTTAGAGAGACGGAATACTACCCTTTATTCTAGCGGACTGGATTTCCGTAAAAAGCCAAGAAAAACATTCCTACGAACAAACACTAGGTACTAAAAGCTTCATATCTGCATGGTTCGATTCCATCGTTCATTTTATGTTGGTCTTTTAGCAGACTCCGTTGATGCATCATGATATTTGCTACCACCTATAGCGTCATCATCGACAGCGGTATCACGCAGGCAAATCTGGTACACAAAGCCACAGCGAGTCATGATGATATTTCCGTCTACCGAGCTTTTAGAGGAACAGTTTACTGCTGTTAAGCGGTTGTTTTGTTGACAAACGAATAGACGCATTGGTTACGCCCACGAAATGGGAGAGGGCAAAATGTGTTCTGCGCTGCTGCTTTTGCTGCTCCTGCTGCCGCCGCCGCCAATACATGGCGCGGCGCAGCGCCGCAGCGGAGGCGGCCGCGGCGAGGTAATACAATAACAACAACAATAATAAGTTGGCTTCAACAGCCACACAGCTAGCCCTATTTAGTGGCGAGGCTTAGAGGCATTGGTGATCGAGCAGGCCTTAAGGTGAGTGATTTTCTGAAAGAATCTGGTTTGACTATCGACAAGTGTATAGCGGTGCGGGCCAGGCGACCGACGGAAGACGCTCGCGGACATCGAGGGCATGAACTCTCGGACACGGACAACCCCTTTAGGCCTATTTAGGGCAAGGCCTGCGGTGGGCCCTAACTCTCTCGGTTCGCCATCTTGGTCAGCAGCAATAGCAGTGGCGATATTGTGTTTCTACGTAACGTTTGTGACTTGATTTGATATTCGGATCACAAATGTGCCACCCACATGACCCACGGCTGAGGCCGGTAAACTCTGGGAAAGAGGGCCGACCATCATGGTATAGAGATTAATGTGTATTTTCAAAAAATGAGCGTTTACTACAGGAAGTCTCTCTAAGATCAATGCTAAGGTGTTACTCGCAATTGGGCGTCGCTTAGAGCTGCAGGCCGCAGCCGCTACCGTTCACTTGCTACCGCCCGTCTTTTGTTGTTGCTGCTGGTGGCAATCGTGTCGACCGCCGGCCATATTGAAAAGATTCGACAGTAGCTAAAAGAATTGTAGTGCCCCTCAACGTGCTATATAAATCTTCTTGAGCCGTCCAGCTCTGCCAAAAGAGGCCTAAGACACTTAATCCTATACAAGGGCACATAACGTACCAAGCATATAGAGAGATACATGGCCGGTACAACATAGCACATATAAACACTGTGTATCTATTAAAAGCTCAATGGGGGCTTTGTCCTTGATAGTAGTGGCTGCTTGTTTTTGGGGACTCGCATGCAATGATGGTACTGCTGCTTTAGCGGTCACTTACCAAGCTGGCAAATGTAGGTGACCCGGGACATATTATTGTTTACCTCTTTTGAAAGCACAGATGAAATTTGTACGGCTGAGATCGATGAGAAAGCAATTAATTGTCATCAGTGAATGGTTTCGCCTGTAGTGTCACCGGGTCGTGAGGCGGATCGTCACGGGCAATCGAGTATAACCGTTGTCGATTACAGTTAAGCTCCGCTTGTTCCATCATCCTGCCGCTCTTGCTGGTCGTTGGTACAACGGCGCTCGGACTATGCGGCTCTACCATAAGCCCAATCGAGGCAATAGATATGTTAGTTGTTTTTGTTTGCCTGCATCCCAGATGCTTAACTGGGATTTGGTAATATCTTTATTAGATAATTTATTATTGGATGTAATCTTCACAGTTGCCTAAGACACTAATTTCATTATTATCTGGAAAATATTATGTTTGGTTAACTGTAGAGTATTTTCGCTTAATCAATTATCTATCTGTTGTTTCATTTTATATGAACTACTTGCTGTTTATTCTATTGACCGTTTTTGTGCGAACGTCTGTTTGCTCTCATGAGATGATAGGCTGTGGGAAGGAAGGAGGGTGGTGCTGGAAATGGTGCTCAATGAATATATACTTAGACCGTTAATTATATTATTAACCTTATTATAACAGTCCGTCACCGTATTAATGAACAACAAATTCCGTGCAGCGTATTAAGAAAAAGTATTAATATTTATATCGTATATTTGAAACTTAATGTTTAATGTTTCAGCCGTACCCATAGCCGTGGGATCTGTTATTTCTAAATCCCGATAAGTAAAAGCAGCATCGTATGCTTTATGTTGGTAACAAATAAAAGTCCATAGATGATTCTGTGTTGTTCGAGTGAACTGCATAGTGCCGTTTCTTCTGAATGAGCAACGGCTGTCGCGCGTAGAGGTCGGCGCCCTGTGCGCAGACACCCGCCGTGACGTGATCGGGGAGAGATCGTCGAAGATTGGCGCTGTCGGCGTTAAACGCATCGAGACGAGGGGATGTTTAATAGCAAAAAAACAGCGAGTAGGGGACGGGTGAGGCGGGAAAGGGCAGTGCAAACTAACGAGAATATTCGTTTGGCCGTTGCGAAAAGACCGAAATAGAGGCAAACTGTAACGTTTGCTTGAGGAAACGGACACGATCATGTCGGTTTGTTGGGCGGCGATTCACTAGAGGTAGAACTGTAATAAAGTTTGTCGGAAGGAAATCATCGAGTACGTTATGCACGACGACTCTTTCTCATTTTGCGGAACGTATACATATCTCGGCTGTTTGCACTTGCAGATTTGTTGAAAATCTATATTACACAAATAAGCTGATATTGTTTATTGTGTTCTATTTATTGGAGGCCATTGTTGTTCGATTTTATTTCTTATGAATGATTGTATTAGTGCTTGGTTTTTTTACAAACGACAGCTGTGTAATCCACTGACAAAAAGTTCTTTGGCTCTGAGGAGATTTGATCTTAACGTCCTGAGGTCAAAGTGCTCTGTTCTTACCGTCAAACCATGGCTAATAACAGCTTCCGTGTTTTTTTGAATTATGTTTTGGTCTTCATTGCACATCGCGGAAATTTGGTTTATTATTTACCACCTTGTACTCACTAAACTTGCCGCTACTCATAAAAATAGTAGTGTTGAACGTAATCAGAACGTATTTCTGTTTAGTCAAACGCCTATGCGTTACATAACCTAAAATAAGTAACTCTAAATTAAGCCCATAGTGTGATGAAAAACTATTACAAAAGTGAAGCTAAGGCAACAATTTCCAAGTTTTTAGGAAACTTCACAGGTGTATTGGCACTTAAAACTAATTTACATTAAGAATTGATTGTTGACTACATAGATACAATTTATCCTGTAACGGTTTTCTTTCAACGTTTTTTTTTTTTTTTTTTAAATTTATAACGATGAAATTTTCTTTGAGTCAGGCGTGATTATCTCTACATGCTCTTCGAGACGTGGTGTTACGAATTTAGAACCCGCGACATTTAAGTACAGCTAGCGCATCTGTTTGATTCGCGTAAACCATAAATCTAGCGTATTTTGATTGAAATGAAGAGTGAATATTTTGAATGACGTTGGAATAATTGAAATATGCTATTGCCTGTGTTATCCGTATTATCTCTTATTGATTACGGTAGAATTTCTATTTGCAGGCAATTTGCCTTTTCAAGGCAGTGAGCGAAGATCTGGAAGACAAGAAAGTTCTTCAAGACTATCATCACAGAAGTTCTCCGAAAATAACAACTACAACTATACTATAAAGAAGCGAACAAAAAAAAACAACAAAAACTGCTGACCCTTTTTCTCAGAGGACTCTGATCTCCAATTTCCAAAACCTCATTATACTATTAACACTACAGCTAGACTGTAGAACTGAATTATTGTGTATCAAGTTCTTCTCCATTTAAACTAAGCGAAGAGTCAATCTACTCTATATCTTTTTCATTGATTACACTTCTTCACTTTATCACTGTACAAACTTATTAAATTACGTAAACATACCATATTATATGATAATACTAATTGTAATAAAAACATACTAGTCTAAATATAGCCAACTGTAATATTGAATAATCATATAGAGGAATATTAAGCTCTTACATATGGGACAACGAATGTGATACATTTAGTTTTAATAAACTTACATGAGAGAAAAGAGCGAAAAACAAGGGTCTGAGCAATACACGAGCCAGGACGAGTCTTTAAATACTGCAACAAATCAAGATTTATACTAATCAAACATAGAAAGACAACGTGAAAACCAACCGTAAGGAGCGTTTGGGAAGATCGTATCCGAAGACGGAAAGTCTTGCAGCTGAAACCTAATCAATCAGGTTCGTTCATTAGGAAGGCCAGTTTTTGTTTTGGGAATGCCGATTCGTCGTTGTGTAGACGTTTTGTTAACAATATATTACTCTTTAAACAAGTAGAAATGAACTTCCTGCTCTACCTGATCAGCAAAGTATGATCACTATAGTACATTATTGCTTTCTTTGACTCTATTCAATTCGTTGGTCGACATCCTTATATTAACCCCAGCTTTGCGATGAGGTAAAATATTAGAACATGCTACAGGAAAACCAAATTTACTCAAAACGGGCAGCTAAAGGCAAAAATAACATATTAGAGTGATGTATCCATTACAATTTGCGCTCTTGCGTTTATTATTTAGGAGCGTCTTTAATTGTGATAGTGGTCGACCGCTGAAGGGTTTTCGACTACCCTACAAAGAAGTATTAGGAAGGCGTTAAGTGTTTATTCAGGGGCCATTGTCTGCCGATTCGCTTAAGCGCAATGATGGACGCCGTTTGTCCGGTCGTGTCAGGGGTGGTCGCCGGAACAGGAGTTGGTGGAGTTGGCGCTGGGGGTTCTAGTGCAGGGGGCGGGCCTGCGCACTTTGTCGTACCGGAGGACATGCAACACCTTGGTATCGCGCCTATCGGTGATCCGCACCACGCTAGCTTTGTCAATACGCTCATTTATTCTCAGGTTGGTGAGCTTGTAAGTCGCAAAATCACTACTGAAGTACATGTTGCGTACACTATAACAATTTATATGGTCGAAGCTTTGAATAATTTAAATAACTAAAAAATACTTGATTAAAATTCTTGCGGCTTGGTATTCTACGAAAAGCCAAAACCAAAAAAGCAGTCTAGACGCTTACCGGCGTACTGGTATCTTTATTAGAAGAACTTTACCATCACTAGTCACTTTTCGAACCCTAGGAGACAGATGGCATCATTATGGAAAGTGATGAACTGGCTACGGAAATTGTTGGCGAGATCATGCCCGTTCCTGAAACTGTTGCTCAACATCAGGAGGTAAGATGTTTCTCTGTGTAATTATGACGAGTTATTTTCTGTAAAGCAATGGAAACCTTCCAAAAAACATAGGTTCGTAATAATAATATATTTTTTTCGTGAAGGACTGCAAAGACGTGGTAAAAAGTAATTGTTCCTTGAGTTTGCGTTTTAAAGAAAAATACAAATTGTTAAGAATATAATCTCACGTGGTGGATCACTCAGAGTATAAAAAAACTTCGTCTGTTTAGCTTTGTTTATAGTAACACGTGCATTTACGCTTAAAAACAAACCTATTACGACAGGTGATTCATATGGACCTCGCTCGAGATGAGTCTAGCTTGATCAGTGGATCTGGAGGAAATTCAGGCGAACTGGAGGAAGGCCATACGATGGGCACCGAAGTGATATCTGAAAGCATGGCTGGTTCTGTGGCAGTAGGCGTTGGTGGCGTGCACCAGCATTCGGATGAGGATGAAGATGTAAAATCTGGAATTGTGCTTCACGTTCATGACATTAAGCAAGAATGTAAGTTTTTTTAAACGACTTACTGGCACCAAACAACGACAGGTACTATATTCAAAATATGTTTTTATTGGTAAAGAGGCAGACAATAGCATTTTTAAACTCATAAAGTATGTGTTTATTATATTGAAGTGCCAGGTTGCGGTCCTGAGGAAGAAGCGGCTGTTGGCGTTTCGGAAGAGGTAGTCGTTGATTCTTCACGATTTTTTCTCGAAGAGGATGGTCTTGATACGCCGCCGGTCGAGACAGAAAATGAACAAGTCATAACGGCTGATGACGAAGATGATGGCGGTATCCATGTGGGAATGCAACACCACCATCACCTAGACCAGCACCAGCAGGTTGGACAGGTGCAGCATCTGCATACAAGACACCGGGGTGGTCGGTCGCACAGCGGTCGTCACAGCAACCACGCACGAGGCTATCACGAAGATGCTGAAGTAGATAGTGAAGAGGTATGCAATCGAAGTTTGCACCTTCGTAATAATATCATGACTCATGGACAGGTTTTAATCTCGAAAAATGCTGAAAGCAAGTGTTGTTCTTACAATAGTTTGCCTAACGAAATAGCTTAATCCGTCTATTTCCTCTAAACATGGGTGCCGCCTGTGAATAAACTGTGACTTGCAAAACGGTAAATAACTAACAACAGTTGTAATGTAAACAGGCTTACAAAGAACTGTGTTGTAATAAAAATTGTTGAAATCAATGTAGGCAGCGGTAGCTGAACCTGGTTTAGAAATGGGCGAGGAAATTGTCGAAGACGTTGAAATGTCGACGAATGCTCTAGTAATCGCTTCCAGCGAAATGGGCATCGCCAGGGGTAGAGGTCGCACGAGAGACCAGGCAGGTGCTAGCAGCCGAGGAGGTCAACTCGGCGCCAATTATCAAAGTGATACACAACCGCATTTCCTTGGAGCGCACCGGGATAACCTTCAAGACGAGCATGTGTTCCACGATCAGGAACAAGCTGTAACATCAGGTATGTGAGAAGTTCTTCTTCAAAACCTTCTATTAAAAATTTCGTAAGCTGGTAGCATTTTTTGGTGTTTCACACTGTTATTACTACTCTCTAACAACATCATCACCACGTATGTTTTTTTGTTATAAACTTTAAACTCGAGAAGAGCCGTGTGTTTCCCAATGCTGAAACATTGTTTTGCAATTACTTTGCCTCGTAATTCTTACTTGTGCACAATTTTCGGTTAATCCCTTTATACAAATACACAATCTACCTTGTGTTTAGGATACTCATGTATGGAATGCGGAGCGGTCCTGAAATCTAAGGCTGCTGCTAAAAAGCACTTGATTCAAGTACACAATTACCAGTGCACCTCTAAGCGAAAACATCTTCGACAACAACAACAGCAACAGCAGCAAATGGAAACGCAGATGCAACAGCTGCAGTATAATACCCAGGCCGCGTCATCGGCATTAGGTGAGAATAACTTTCTTCCTTATAGTAAATGCCAAACTCATTACACACTACTGACTTTATGCTTCTTGGATATGATTTTATGACTAGATATTCTTTATTCCTGCCAAGCCATAAGTGTTTTTTTCGGCTTTGTGCATAACGGGATAGTTTCATACATCAACATGAGTTCAGGAAGAGTTCTATTTCTCAACAGTAGAACTCCTACTTGCTATAGTTCAAATTATTCCAATGACTGTTTCAGCTTTGTCAGTTGGAGGAGCGCCTACATCCTTGGTCGTTAGCGGATTGGATGACGTCCAAACAGGCCTCTCGAATATTCCCCAAATGTACCAATGTCCTTCCTGTGCGTATTCGACTACGCGAAGAGACAAGTTAGACAAGCATGTCATGAAGCATGTTTTGCAGGTGAGCTCGCAACCCCTCTTAGAATATACAGCTACTGTAAAATACCACTTGTGAATCTTCAAGGATTAACAGATGTGCTAATATTTGCTTTAATAACACGAATACGCAAATTCTTTTTGTAAACCTGCGTACTTTGCCTTTATTAAGGATGGCTATCATCCTTGCGGAAAAAAGCGTCACCGGCCGGAAGCTCCACCGCAGAGACATCGCCATAATGCTGAAGAATATCATTGTCCGTATTGTTCCTACGGCTGTACCGTTTATAAGGCACTTCGAAAACATAAAAAACTCCACTTGCAGGTATGATTGTGTACTGATCTCATGTTACTGAAGTCAATGCTTTTTGTGCCTAGTCACCATTTTATTAATACTGTTTATTTGACACAGCCTTGTTTTCTTTTTGTTAAACAGGGCAAGGCACTCGTTGGGGCAGTGAAGTTATCTTGTAAAGTTTGCGGAAAAGATCGAAACTCCGAGGAAGAAATGGCCCGACACATGCGAAAACATCGGCAGGGGGATAACTTCGTTTGTGACATTTGCGGCTTCACATCTATTCAGCTTAAAAAAATCATTCAGCATCGGTGCGTCAGTCAATCCTCTCTCATATGAAAGAAATTTGTATCGTGGTATCTTTATAATATCGTGGTATCTTTGTAACAAGTATAATTGTGTTAGCCGCATAACTCAGTTTAACTACATGGGCTCTGAAATACTCTTTTTAGAAAAAAAAACAGGTATCCGAATTCAACGCTAAAGTGCAGCGACGTACATTAAAAATCTTAGCACAATTACGTAGGTTGCGCTGTCAGCAAGTGAACAACTGAGAAATCTTCGCGCACTAGTAGCAGACATAACATTTGAAACATTTGCGTACAGGATACTATATTGTTTCTGGTTCTTAGTTAAATAGATTACTATATTATGCCGGTTACTAGTTACTGGCTGCTTAGCAAAATTGATCGAGACTAACGTATGAATCTATTTCGATCAATCCCTTTTTTCTGATGGTTGTAGGCGAATGCACACGGGAGAGAAACCCCATCTTTGTCCGCACTGTAGTTACCGGTCAGCACGTCGAGACAACCTTCGATCACATGTGCGTCGCATGCATAAACGGGACAACATGTATATCGATACATTTAACCCGAGTAACGCTCCAGACTCCGGACTCCCGCAAACATAGTAAAAACGCCGAAACTTTTTGGATAAGGTCGCCATTGCCAGCACTCCCATGGCTGGAGGTGAGTATCGCAGATATGCTCGTCTAATACATTACACGAATCATATATGATGCAATAGCTACTCAACAGCTATATATATATATATATATATATATATATGTGTAATACACAAAACTTATTTGGTTTATCCCGGTAATATGCTATGCTCAATATGCCGCTATACTCTTTATTTTCGCGTCAGCTATGGCAAAGAGAAAAAAAAATCGTACTTGTGGTTTTCACCATTTAACGACTATACTGAAAGCGATGCGTAATTAGCGGTGCACAGCCATTCATTTTAATTTGCAATGAGGTTAGATCACGTTTAAATAAAACACTTGTTACGTACATTCCATGTTTATGTTAGTAGCCTAATTGGAGTACGAAATTCAATTATTTACAGGTTGTATAAATAACTCTCGTATTTTAAACTGAAGTTCGTTTCGAAATTAGTCCATCGTTGTAATTGGAATGCTGGCTGGCGCACATCGGTGATTGGGCATTTATTACGACATCAGCGAAGAACCTAAGGGCAAACCGGAAACAGTCTGGATGTGTTGTATAACGTTAATGGAACAGCTTTCTATGTGCACAGACAGGGCTCGTTACAGCAATCCATCAAGTGAGATTGCTGCCAAATGGGTGGAAATGACCCCCCTGAATCGAGTCTGCAAGAGACCTGGGTCAGCCGAAATAAAATATTACTGTGCTTGCAGAGTTTATGTACGAGGGGAGTTACTAAGTGGAAGGTGCCCTTTTGTGTAATACTGTATTATATATATTTAATATTAATAAAAAATATATGTATATGTTTTCAATTAAGTAATTTTCATCTAATTAGAAAGTAAAAAGCAAACAATGAAATAAGGTACAAGAGGTCACTACAATGTTACAGGGTTAGTCACTTCATGTATGCTGTTCATTGGTTCTGGTGGAAATTGACTCTGTGGTTTTGAAATGTATCTACAATTTTTTAGTTCACAAATTAATTCTAAACGCCTTTCGTTTTTTAAAGACCCCCTATTTTGATTTACTTTACGAGTTTTGCCGGATGGGATCCAACAGATACAAATTTTACGTCAGAACATTAGTAAACTTATCAATACAGCTATATTGCATGACAAGAATGAAGCGAATGTAACTTCATATAGGGGGCTAGCTTAATACCACAAACACAGTGAGTAGATAGACTTAATAGGTGATATGGGAGATAGACCATGACAAAATATAAGCTCACAGAGAAATGAGGTCGGTAGTATGGTGATATCTTAACGTGTCTCAGAATTTTACATATAAAAATATTAGTATTGCTATTAATATTATTGCGCCCAAAATGCCGAGTGCAGTGCTAGCTGTAGAATGATATTTTATGAGAAAGAAACAGAAAATCCAGCTAACGAAATCGGTTCATGGTTTGCAATGACCTAAAACTAACCTTAATCAACCGTTAATAAACCCCTAATCATGAGCAAATGTGAAGGTCGTTAAACAATGACATAGCTGTGAAGCGTAAAATACGTATAGGACAGCCATAACTTGGTTTGGGTTAACAAATACACAAAAGTGAAGCCGACGGCTATCAGTCGGGATAGGTCTGTAATGGATCTTCTAATTTCGCTCAATGTTTATAATTTTTCGTCGCTTGGCATATATATATATATATAATACCTGTATTTCAAGATGTTTCTGTATTAACTACTCGATTAATAAGTGCGTCGTAGATAAACTTATATTCTAATGATGGCAACTATTACTGCTATTACAGTAGCTTGTACTATGCCTAGTTCAAGAACAAAATATACGCACTCTTATAACGTTATTGAGCGGTAGAAAGGTGTCGTAATCGATAACTTGTTATTCATAGAAGTTTCGCACGCAGATACAGACATGCAGTTGCTAACAATTGTCTTGACATACGCTTATTATTACTAAGAGTGTTGAAAATAATTACTTCTGTAACCACAACAACTTGTCAATAGAGGACGAAAATAATAATAATGTTAATGACGATATTTCTGTGGACAGTACGATGCCAATTGCTATTGAATTAATAAAAAATTCAAATCACCTGAATAACAGTGATTTAAAGTTAGTGATAACCGAATACAAAATTACATAGAAAAGGAAATAACTAAAATAATGGGTATTTATTAACTCTGGCTCTATTAAATCGTTCAACATTATACTCACGTGGCCGTACTACAATACAAAGGACGAGAAAATTAAGAGTGGTTATCAAGTATTCAGTCTATATAATGCCATACAATAATTTGAGAATGACTTTCTATTTACAACACTGCCATGATTCGAAAAAAAAAATACATATATTTGTTGTACTCAAATAGGAAGAAACTAACTTTCCATAAAAAAAGCGTAAGACAAAATTGTTTTGATCAGTTTTAGCTGGCGTCGTTATCAGTTAAAAATAGAAATGGTTGGATTAATATTAAATGTGAAAAAGCTGAGATCATTTATCTTAGCACTAATCGAAAAATCGACTGAGATGCTAAGTCTGAGAACCAAACAGTGCTTGTGGGCTCAGAGCCTTATCTCTGGCGTGAATTGATACATGTGCCTACGTGAACACTACACCTACTATGACACATGTGTATATTATTATAACTCTGAAATTTCAAAAAAGAAAAGTAGCTATTGATAGCCAGGAATCCACCGAGCAGAACAAAAAAAAATGAGAGAGAGAAAGAGAGAGAAACTTGCACCGACAAGCAAAATGAACGAAAAGTGAAACTGGTCCATATCAGAAACGACTTGTTTTTAATAGTTCTCCTTAGATGAACTAACTAACTTATGAAATAGTTCTAATAATAGGTACATAAAAGTATTCGGGTACGAACATGTGTAATAAAAGTATCCGTCTTTTCATAATAATAATAGTAATAATAATAAAAATAAGAAGGACAACAACAAAAATAGCAACAACAACAACACTATTACATATCTAATTTTTTTCTCAACATTGTTGAATTTCTATATATTTGGATTTTTTTTTGGCTTCGTTATGGTACAGGCTATACTGGCATGACCAAATGTGTACCCTTATATCTATTATGCACTGTCTTTTGCCCATGTTCTGTAGTCTTGGTGGATTTATCTTACGATCAGTTGTGCTAGAATTTTATGCAGTCTCATTATTTGACCAATATTATTTGGCCCAGCGTACTTTATGAGTTCTTTCTCGCTTTCATCATTTGTCTTTTCCTTGTAAGGGTGGCTAGATTAGATGCAGGTCCTTTTAATAAGACACAAAAGAAGAATGAATAATAGACACACAAGCGCTCCTGCGATTAAACTAGGAACGGGTAGGCATACCGTCTACAAAGAATTAAGACTATAGTATTTTATTTTTATGTTATCGAAAGCATACAGGTCAACGGAAGCATATACCTTACAGTTAAGCTTGAACTTTCGGTCTCTGATTGTGAACTCCTCATCAGAGTCATTTTGAATAATGTTAGAACAGCAAAGAAAAATATCGACAAACGAAGCGGGGTTATTTGAGATGTTGCCGATGCATCGTGCTAGATCATGAGAACACACCTCCGTATCTCTGTATTTCACTTGTTTATTGTAGTTGTACTAATTATAAGAGTAGTCGATGTCTTTATCCAGCTCCATGATACATAACCATATATATACAATTTTTCTGATCGTCGCGATTTCGTCCGTTTTTAAGGGTGAAGTCAACAGTGGTCTGTAGGGCAGAAAAGGAAGGGTGTCATAATGTGATATAAGATGAGACGACATCCCATGAGAGCCCATGATCACTGTTATAGTGCATCAGTTGAGATCTCTTCCGTGCTATGCCCAACGTAAATTTATGAATTTATGCGTATGTGCGAAGAGGTTCTCTGTGGAAAGGACCTTGACAGTGTATAGACTGTAGACAATTATCTGGATATAAGCGGCTAATTACTAGTGGACCTGAGTGATGCTGGTTTTTGCTCAAACTGATGTTATCATTTTAAAATCGATCGATCGTTTTTCTAAGAGCAGTTGATGTAATCGAAATCCATCATCATATCTACTTTTAGGCACGGGGACAAACGAGCATGCTTCCAAATTGTTTTTTTTGCGTAATTATCAACAGGAGTAAATGGGAACAGAAACCTGTGTTAACAGATGCTGAATAAAACGATGTGTGCTGGTTCGGAAGCTCTATAGATAGATATGGGAAAGCTTAGTTCTAGTTCAGAAATAGATGGGTTCAATGAGACTCTGGCGGTCGTAATAGTTTAATAAATAAAAGGATGTTTGAGAAGTGGTCGAGAAAAAGCGTACGGACTTGGCTTCGATAACAATGTGTACGGAGTTGTCTAAGTGTGCCCAACGGTGGTGCTGTTTTAAGTGCATTTGATTTTTTTGGTAATGGCAGATGAATGCTGCAAGGAGCTCAGATGTTTAGAACTCAAAAAGTAATCATGTCCGACAGGCAATGATGAGGTTACATTTTGCATTATGTAAAAACTATAAGAGGCAGTCCGTAGAAATATGATCAATGTGCGATTAACAAGACGGCATATATTGATGGCATGTACATGTACGAGTATACATATATATCATCAGGCGAAGTATTATTATAGTCACACACATTAATATAAAATACTACCCAACAATCCTTGCAAAAGACAATACGAAATGCATGAATAGATGAATGTTGAATTGACCGTGTGTACTACTGCTTTATGTAAATAAATGAAGACTCGAGTCGGGTTGTTGTGGGCGAATAAAAAAGCTTTCTCATTGCATCCCGGCCTTTAATTAGATAACTGTGCAAGGATATAAAATAAAGAATAATTATGATTTTGGTTATTTTTGTAGTTGGGCATAGCACAACAAGAACTCACAACTGGGAAAGTCATTTTCATGTTCAAAAATGATCTCGACCTATATTACCTATGATACCAGAAATTCTCATAGCACTATAGTGTAGTGGCTTTTTCCGCGGTCCACTTCTGAACCATGAAGTGTTACTACGGCGGTCATTCAGGCGGGACCCATGGCATACCTTGATCCAACTCAGACCCCCGCCGAAACTAGTGAAGAGCAGACTTCTATTGTAAATTGCAATTTTCGATGTGAAGTACAATATGCCATTTTGTTGGCTTTCCGTTAATTGTTGACTGTCTGGTCTCCTGCATAGGTGAGATGTGGACTCACTATGCGTGTGCCCTTTATAGAAGAAGAGCCATGCAAAGCGTGCTTTTTGTCGTTATGGTTACGACCACTGCCTTTCTTATGCAATCATTGCCACGTACGCAAGAGTCATTGCTCTTTGCACACAATTACGGTCGCTGCAACTACCGTATGAAGTGGGCTTAAAAACTAGAAAGATTTTTATATAAAAAATCATTCAGATTTTGTGCGTGAATAAAACCAACGTCATTACTAGGCTGACGCAATGTACAGGGCAAAGTATAGTGTACGCCATTTTGCTAGGTATACAGTTACATTAAACGTGCGTTTGAAAGGCCAAGGATGTGTTTTGCTTGAATATGTTACTAATAATAAACGCAAGTTGGATAGCTAGCATGTATGTCGGAACTCGACAGTCACTTAGTCTTGGTACCAGGTTATGTATTGTCATATATTATTTAATTCTCACTTACTTTTTAATAGTAATTTCGTAAAGGCTCACGGAGCCTATATATACTGCTTTGAAAATATGTTTCGGTATATAAGAAAATAGCTATAAATGCGAAAAAACGGATATAGTGTTAATTAAAAAAACATCCCATATTGCGGAGTCTTCAGCTGCACTGTCCCCGGTTTAACTGTAAGCCTATCGAAGACTTTATTGATAGAAATGCGTTTCTTAGCTGCTTCCGCGATGTTCTCAATGAACCTGTGCTCGCTTAGTTCTCGCTCTTGATTTCCTTATTTCGCCTACGGCTTCTATCAAGCTCTTCAATTCACTGGGCTTTAGCTTTCACTCTTTTTGAGTAAAGGGAGGGCAAAACAAGAGACATCTTTAAAATGATGTTGGCAGACGCTCAAGCCACTCAAAATCAATACTATCGTAATTAAAGGACCTATGCATCAATGATTTCGAGCATATTATAGGTAAATAGTGGGATGATACTCATGTTAAATGACTTCATCAATTACCTGATCAGGACTGCTCTGATCACTTTTCAATCTCTAGAGAGACCCTGCAGTAAGTACCGGAATTCGGAAGTGGAAGTAGGCTCGAGGCCACGAGTAGTAGAGGACACAGCATAGTGGAGAGACTTAATGAATTTCCAGTAACAGCCCGCAAATGCTTCAACTGCGGGGAGCAGGACCATTTCAAAAATTACTGCTTAAAGCTCACCCTGTATCGGAGCATATGTTGCATAAACGCGCCAGCCGATGACCTATTCTTGCTCAAAGCTGACCTCTTTTGTGAAAAAATAGGTGCAATACTCGACCTTGGGACAGGCGTAAACGCCATTTCCGTTCAGATAATGGATAAACTGTATTTACCGAATATCGTAAAACCATCGGAATTGTATATCCGTACCATACCCAGCACGCCCTGACAACGGTTAAGGAAATGGTAAACGACTGCACTGATGACGGATCGAAGAAGCCGTTCCATACGGTCGATAAGCTTGCGAAACATCTCATACTACGTTAGGGAGACCAATATCTGTCACCGTTATTTTATTTAAGGTTCAACGAATGTTTCGAATACCCTGCAAATTACACCGACAGTAACATACAAGCTCTCTCTTAAGCGGAAAAATATTTTACATTCTTTCAATTCGATGCTCTTATCTAAGTTTTAGTCCTAAAGGAAACATTATGAAAACCTACTTTTTGAAAAATAATCAATGGTTTGGTATAAACTGTAAGCTGAACTACATTCCTCTGTAAGCTTAGGATTCCGAGCATATGTAAACTTCTGTAAAAAACGCATTAAAATAATAGAAAATAACAGTATTTTTAGATTATGGATGAGCGAAAAAAAAGCTGTTATTACCATCCAGGCTCTAAGTAGAATCTATAAACATTCTTCCATCTAAAAGAATCAAGATATTTCCTGCTTACACGGAATATGGTTACACACACAAATAAAACAACACAAATAAAACAAGATAAAACTCTAACACATTTTCTAATTTCTAACACAGCTGATCTGTTATCAGTGTATTAGTTTGTGTAAAAACTGATTACGTCCGAATGAGATTGAGCAGGACACAGTTTTTATACTCGACCGGATTAGTTTGTTTACGGTTTGCCATATAATGTGCTTGTAGCCATAAAAACGGAACAGAATAAGCAACTCAATCGATATCGCCATAATACAGTGCTATTGCAACTGCTAGTTAGAACAGATCCGAATACAAGCTATGGTAAATTAGAACGAAGCCATGTCCAGAAGATTTATTCATTTTTGGGAAAACAAGGTTTGTCAATATATATATATATATATATATATATATTGCATGAGCATGGTACAATGCTCAACCTAAAGGAGTTTAGTCTACAATGTACCACAAAAAAATGGGAGACACGGTGTTGACAATCAAGAATTTAATCTAAGAAACTTCGCGTTTCGAGCTGAACACGCAAGGTTAATAAGAAAAAGAGTCACCGTTTGCTTCTTGTAAACCAGTAAATATAATGAATTTAACCTTCAAGTTTGATTTTAATTTTATGCAATTATCAGTAAATTGCATTATCGCATACTTTCTTTGTATACGTTAATTGTGTTATTTTGAGGAAAAGTCATTCAAATATTTAAAAAAGTTTAGGATGCAAATTATTTGTCGGAACCAAAAATTAAAATATTGTAGATCGCCAAACTTAGTGGGTCGGAACAGCTCACATTGGCTGCGTGCAATTGATCTCAACGTAGCCTCCAATAATAACGCTTCGCCAAGGTATTTAGTCAAATTCTTGAAAGTTGAACCGGACGGAAGGGAGGTATCGAAGAGACTGACGAACAGCAACTCTGGAATAACAAACACCTCTACAAGGCGCTATTGCGATGATCTCTAGGTGCGTATCTCTACCACCTGTTTTATGTAAAATGACTGCCTTCTAATTTTATAGAAGTTACCATATTGGGGAGGGTTGACGTTTTGATAGTTACCTCGTCAAAGAATGTTTTATACATAAATTTGTTTGTTTTCGACCTAAACTTAGACTAGCTAGATATCGTCCTCGAATGACATACGGTAAGCCAATAGACTTCTCCAAAAGCCAAACCTAAGATCTCAGCATAATTTCTTTGCAAAGACATGCAGCACACCACCATGGCACATGGTAGAAACGCATTTCCTATAAGCAAGATAAATTAAAAAGTATAGTAGTTTATTAAGTGGAAATACCGACTTATTGCCAGTGTTTTTTTAGCACCGATTGTTATATCAGGTTCGCAAAAGATATTGTAGCAATGGAAGCCTATCTTGCCTCAATATCAGATTATCGCAACATAAGGCACGACACGAAGTCGATCCCTTAAAATGATTGTAAGCTGACTGATTCCATTGCGTTGGTCTAGCACGCTACTTAGTATACAGTAGTTTAATGCTATTATTAGTACACGGATTGATAGTTAGGTTTAGCTGCTGCTAATAAAATGTCACTGCTGTTCCGCCCATTGTCTGCGTGGCCTTCCTTATGTTCACTTGTCGTATAGTTGATTTCCATTGTATCCTGTGCGTGTTTGTCCAAGAGATCCCAAATAACAACATGTTCTTTTTTTACGAGCTTTTCCGTCACGATCTTATCAACAAGTTTAATCATTCTTTTCCAATCGATGCCCAACACTTGAAGAAGCTCTTCAATTTTATAGCCAGAAAGGTCTCGCCCTGTAGCCAGACCATTTCGGTGACAAGTACTTAGGTTTCATTGTGTCAAGAAAATGACGTCGCCAAAGTTTCTCTAACTCGAATAGTTCTGGACCGCCCGCCGAACTATATCGTTTGACCACACGCGATCCGTGCGTTACCTTGTTGTTTCGCAGCCATTGAGAAACGTTTATACTTGCTGCAGACCTGAGCTGTTCTTCTGTGAGGGGCAAAGTTCCGTCTGTGAAACCCGGATGCTCCCGCAATATCTGCTCAAACATGGCCTTCTTATCGGATTTCAACCTGTCAGCAGCTTTCAACAGTGCCATTGCTGCCATCTTCACGCCTTGAAAGTTAGATATAGTAATGTCGGGCAAGCAATCCTTGTCCAGTTCCTCCATAAGGGCTGCCTCTGCACGCGTGTACTTTAGTTGACACTGAATACAGAGCAGCACCATGTCATGAGAAGTATGCGATTTCATAATATTTAATAATAATAAGAATTTCATAAGGGAAAAGTTTTCGGTATTGCTGTGTGACAATGTTCTTTTTAAGCAAGTGCTCTCTTGCTCCACATACAACGCATTCACTGACTTTTTCGTCGACGTAATATTCGCTACCGAGAGTGGCGCGGCAGCGTGGCTCAAAGTTAAGCTGCACAGTGAAAGGCTCTTCAGAGACAACTCGACCGAGTTTCATTTTTAGATAGCAGTTCAACTTGACCTCGTCTGTACTGCACAGAACTTCTCCGTCAGGTGCCTGTAAAACCGAATTTTTATAGATACGTTGTTGTTTTCGTGCTTTAAACGATGCCTTCGTACGTTTCTTGTTCTGAACGATGTTACGTTTTGATAGGCTCCCAATTCCCTGTAAAATGTTAAAAAGTTGCCTACTTAAAAGAAAACCCTATGCAAAATACAGTCTATTATCTATGTCAATATGTTTAGAATGACACTGATATTCGTCCTAGAACGCTGACTTTCAGTAGACGGACATGCAATGGCAGCTAAGTTGTCAACATAGTACAACACTGACCGATGACTTCTTTAGGGCGGTCCGCCTAAAGGGAATGTCGACGAAAATGCCAAATAATTTCCAGCACCGGTCGCCCCTCTTCTTCTAAGATGGCGAGTGCCACAGTCAATGCAGCGTATGCATCCGTCGCTGCATATTTCTGCCAAGGTCAAAAACCTCGTCAGCAGAAACACAATACAAACATTTCTATAAGCAATTAAAAATAGCAACGAGGAATTTAAATCAACCATTAAGAATACAAGTTATGCTGTTTCATATTATACCAACTTAACTTCGCTACTACGTAAAATATCCGACGATGCTGAGTTTGAGCCCTAGACTTATGACGATTAAGCCGGCCAGTAGTTTCAGTACAAGAATTTTAACATCTTTCATCAAAGGCGTATCCTTTTACTACTGACCACTTCAGCCTCTGAGAGCGTCGGAGCCTCCCAGTTTCCACAGCGCAGTTTATCCTCTTTGTCCAGCCCGATGCCAGAGAAGCGACGAGCCAATCCGGCCAATGAGAAGTCCTCGATATAGGGGTCAGATACTTTAGACTGCCAGTAGCTAGCCATATATCGGAGGTCTAGACAGCCTTTTACCTAGAGCATATCCAAAAACGTAATATATCGGAGTAAAAGCACAGGACATGTTATTTCTGCAGAGATTATAAAATATTTTTTTCGGCGACACTTGCAATAAGTATTCCGAATAGATATGGGGTTAATACAAACAAATCAATCGTTTACATTAACTTAAACACCTTTGGTAATTATCGCGATCATGTTCATTGAATTATATAAATCGCCATGTTTGAATAGAATTTTCCTACTGTTCCTTCTACAAAAACTCCTTATTTTTTTATTGCAAAAAATAAAGTCTTAGCACCGACATCACTACTACCATAGGATATGTTCGTCAAATCAAGCTTATCTACTCGTAAACGCACCATGATTTCGTAGTCGTCAAACAGCTTTTTGGCACCATCAAGTACAGCGACACCAACTTTAATAACCTCATTGCAAGCCAGAATTTCCTGAGGCACCTGAAATCGTGGCCAATATATTCAGGTGATCTTTTTCTCATGGAACGAACTGCGGTATCGAACACAGTTTATTTTTTTCATTTCACCTGAAGACTGTGCTTCTTTCTGGAATAATGAAAATGAATACATTACATTCCATCCCTTGGGTGAACTAGAATCTAAGTCATATTCTCAACGTTGTACACGCTTAAAATTAGGCTTACCGTTTCTTGCCGATTTAATCTCATATCGGTACGGTTAATGGTGTCAAACTTATAATGAACATTATCAATAATTTTTACTCAACTTTACTTATCATCAAGTGAGATTGATGCTGGGAAACCTTTCAAAAATCTTGATATAGTGTAACATCTCATATGGTGCTCTTGCCGTAATATTCCCAAGTCGCCTGCGATGTTGTACTCCTCGAAATACTTAATGGGAGAAAAATTCACATAATATGACTGGACAAGGACTTGGCAGTACATATATTAGGAGATAAAAAGCAAATTACCAAGTATATATCTTGTTTTCAATACTATGTATACGTTCGTTACCATATATGAAAGTAAAAAACATTAGCTAACATAATAGCTCTCGGCAGAATGGTGCATTTTAACGATCGCACTAACCTTCATGAGATTTAGACGAGGCAAAACAGATAAGCGATCACTGGGTGCCAGCTGGAGAAGTGATACCATATTTCTTTTCCAAACAAACTTGGTCCGTTTCAACATGCCCTTGGTGGGAATGTTTGTGGTGGATTTAGTCACCCATTCGCAGTCTAGGCCCAGAAGGTTTGACCGAGCTACTTCCTGTACAGATTCTTTTGCCACAAGTGCCCAGTCCTCTGCTTACGAAATGAACACAATACGTCGAGGAGCTCGTGCAATTTTTTTCCTTCGCGTCCGGCGCCAGGTCACGAATGCTGCTGTACATATACCGATGGCTCCTACGGCAATGGCAAAATTACACGTAAGAGAACGGCCTTCCAACCCATCTGGAGCCCCTTTCGATAACCCCATCACCGTGGAACACAGAGTAGCGGTGGCTTATTTCGTACCTCAACTATCATCCTGAACAAAATCGATTGGAAAAAATAATAGTTATTCTACTAGATATGATAACTGAGGCACTTCTATCATTAGCTTCTTTTCATGAAATCCACTAAACGCTAAAACTAGGCTCTGCTTGTGCCTCAGAGTAACGTCGTACGAGTGCTATTTGAATCAATCAAATCAAACTCAGTTAATCTATATAATTAACTGTAAACAAGAGTATAGCAGGCCCTTGTTTACTAGACGTTTATTTCACACCTATGATTGCTAATTTAAAATGTAGACGGTCGTAATGCTATAGCAGAATCACAAAGTCTGCGAACGTGATATCTATCTGAACGTGAAAGCTATCTACCCCTGTACTCTTTAGCCCAACCGGAGGCGTCAAGAGAAGGCAATTCACCCAATTCCTATGCTTAAACTATTTACCCCTCTACTCTTTAGCTCAACCGGAGGCGCCAAGCGAAGGCAACTCATCTAATTCCTATGCTTAAGCTATCCCCCCCCCCCCACTCTTAAGCCCGGCCCGAGGCTTCAAGCGAAGGCAATTCACCCAATTCCTATGCTTAAACTATTTACCCCTCTACTCTTTATACGTCAAATCTTGCCGCTGTGACTGATTTTCACACACCTAAGTAGGCTAGATAAACTTTTGTAGACCTGCATATCCGTTTAATCGAAACGAAAGATTATCAGACAATTTATAGAGTAAAGTGAAGTTTTGATATACACTGCATGAAGCCAGAGCAACACATTTGTTGTGAAAAAAATCTGGATGGAACATTTAAGTTAATTTAAAGTTGCTTTATAGGTAAGTATTACACTCAAGCGTGCGCATGCTATAATATGACGAAATACATAAATTAATGTAAAAACGGAAATAACTAGTTATGTTCTTAAAGAACAATATGCGTATAGCTTTGGCTTGTACCACCGATGCTGATCTGAAGAATACAATCATCTTATAGGGAAGATGTCTGCGAAATATGCATATCATCCTGCAGCTTCATTGGTAGCCAGAGAGTCGATTCAGGTATAAGTGTATATCTGTTGTATTCGTTATATTTTAGCAAAAAAATGTATAATTCATGTAAGTAAGAAAAGCCATATTAACATTTTGTGCTTTATATGGCTAATATGGAGCATCAATTTATTAACAAGCTAGTCAGGTATATATGCAGTAATATAGTGATACTTTCATATATATTCCGCTGGAGGCCAATATATTTTACTTTTTATGAGAACGTAATGACGCTAAAAGGTTTTTTCGATGTAGACCTTTCCAAACAAAGACGACACAGTTGTCAGTGGGCGTAGCTTGCGCATAGGTTCAATGCCATCCCAGGGTCGACGGCAAATTTGTGCACCTGTGTCTATAAGTTATTCTAAAACGGACCGAAGCGTAGTGCATTTATTGGGTAAACATTTTGCTTGGCCTTGTACACCGCAAGCTTCGCCTCTAGAGGTCCTTTGGACATTACCATGGGAATTTAAGATGCCTACGCCAGACGCACAATTTATCACCGCGTATTCATTCCTCAGGCGTTATTGATATGTTTCTTGCTGTGAGGATACTTTTTTTCGTTCGTAAGATTTTGCTTTTTGCTTTGCTACCCAAAACCAGTCAATGACGCCGGCCTCGCTACCGCCGCTACCATCAACGAGACCACCCATATCACCTTATTGATTATCTAAGAACACTCGTTTAGCGCATGCTCGGTGCTTATTAAATTTGACATCAAATGTCGTAATAGTATCAGAGCCAAGCTTGCCATATAGCGTCGTCGTAGAATGATATGGGTCGCGTTTTATCTAAAGACTCCTTAGCTTGACGTATGGCAACACTGTTATAGACTATCCCGAGTGGTTATGTCCCCATAGTCAAGTTTGGAGCCCTTAATTAATATAATGTTTTTTCTTTGAACTACTTAGTCTCGATGACAGAAGCATATTTAATAGCGCATAGGTGAGCTTGATCCTAACGAGTCCTACGTTTTTTTTTTTTTTATAGATGGCCTATACGGACGATCTTTTAGAGCGAACTCTCGAGGAGTTGGAGCGACTTTCAACTGCGCCATCACCTCGCGCGCTTCTTGAGGATGAAGAGTTCGCAAATCGTAACCTGAACGCGTCAGATCGCCTTGTACAAGGCCGTTCACCAGGGAGCTATCGAGGCGTCCCATCGCATCCTCATGCAACCACATCATCACATTTGTACAAGGTAAAGGGCCGGACAAAGCACGAAAATACTTATGTAAAATTGACGAAACTAGTTCTAGCTGAAAACGCTCACTTCTGTCTAAAGCTATCGCGGGTACTTCTGCCTTATCGAACCTAAAATCCCATTGGAAATACATAAATTTGCGTACACAAATAATAATATGTATTAGCTTAATACACTGTTACAGCCCGTGCCGCCGATTCCAGTGGAAGATCATATGTCACTTTATTCTAATGGACGAATTTACCGTCACCCTGGGTCGGTTATCCGAGCCACACCGCCCCCTCCGCCAGCGCCATCTCAACCCGACTACGATGCAAGGGTACGAAAATAGACTTGTTCACTGCCTCAAAACAAGAAAACAAGCTCGCTAACCGAGCAGAGAGAACCCAAACTTGAACCGCTTTTGCTCCCTTCACCATACTAATAATAATAATAATGGGTTCAAGATTTACATAGTTATTTGCAAATGTCGCATCGACTCAAAAACGGCTTCTACACCTCAAATCGGGATACCAAATTCTGTGGTGGTTACTAAGAAGTGATTTGCTACTGGAGATGTCTAATACCCTGAGTTTTACCTTACAGAGCTTTTATTGACTTTGGGACCATATGAATTATAAACTTTTTAGCTTTCATTGTAATTTTACTCTTCAATTAGAGTGATACAAGCAGTATTTACGAGCCGCTCCGACCGCGTGCACCCAGCCAGCAAAGCACCTACTCTGGTTCGCATGGGCTGCCAGGAATGCTAGGTTACGGATTTGGAGGTTACTCTGGAAGCAGCGCAAGCTCTCAGTATTCGAGCCAGTCAACATTACGGGGGTCTGCCTTCAGCGACTACTTTGGTAAGCTCCTGATAGAGGAATATTTGCCCTCAAAAAATCGTAGATTATGGTCTCTCGTTGCGTTGCTTATTATAATAAAATCGTTTGTAGTAACTTCTATAATAGCTGGAATTCTAATAAAATCCGTTATATTCCATTCTTAGTTTTTTCTTTACCAAAAGACAGGACTGAATGTTCGCGTCAACATCAATCATCAACCTTGTTTCCTGTCTTATGAATACGGTACTTGGTCAGATTAGTACTTAGCGTTGACATCTTTTTGATAGCTTTTACAAGTATGCTTATGGGCCTTGTAGAGGAAGACTGCGGTAGTGTGGCCGAAGAGCCTTTTGCCATCGGATCGTGCGTGGAATGTCAACATGAGGTCCTTAATGACGGCTCGGGATGCAGTGCCATGGATAAGGTACGTACTGGTTTAAAGCTAGGCGGTATTAGCAGTCTGGAAGTATTTGCAATCTGTAGCCTGAAATAAGTGATATTCGTGCAGTTATAGCTAGCGACATTCTTGGAAACAGCAAATATAGTATAGGTACACTCTGGTTTAGACATACGAAAAACCATCCCGAGTGCCCATTAAACAAACGGTTAGAGTTACACAGTGGTGAACCCTAGTGTTTGAACGACTGTCATCTTAGTTACTTGAAGTTATCACACTGAATTTACGGCTGGTCCGCAAAAATAAGTTCAGTGTTCGTTTATCGAAAATGCCGTTTGGTTCTCATATGGAACTCATAGGAACCGTTCGGCTATTGCAGGATACGTCGCCCCTCAGAAACAGTAGAGAATATGAACGATTCATAATCACCGAAATACAACTTGTACCTTACGGAAGAAAGAATTATCTATGCAAATTAAATTTGGTCCGAAATAAAGCTCGCGCGAGACGCCGGGCAACAAGTACTTTTTCTTTCAAAAGTGTCATTAACTTTGACACCGATGTCTTACTATCAAAGTAAGCATAAGTTTATTAACCAATAGACAATTTCTATGTTCGGCGAGAAGGTATATAAATTAATATTACTAATGCATATATGTCCCGCTTATATGTCTTTAATTATCATCTTACATCGATATCCATTTAATTCGTGCCAGGTTTATCATATCAGCTGTTTCAAGTGCCATGTATGCAAAAGGGAACTGCAGGGAAAAGCATTCTTTGCCGTGCAGGGACAACCCTACTGCGAAGAAGATTATTTGGTAAGCACCAACCTTCTGCTAAACAAATACCGACAATATTGGCTCCGTTGGTGGGAATTTGAGTGGCTTAGCGACCCATAAATGACGTCTCCTAAATACTAAAAGGTATCGATAATGATAACGTGTATGAGAATTTGAAGCAACGTCCACTTTTTTAAGATCAATAAAGGAACACGGTGAATATCTCACAAATAGTAAATGAGTGTAACGTATCACTCCTTCACACTTCGTCTCACTGAGTACATCTTCTTTTTTTAATAATTTAATCGAGGCTATACAATCCCACATCGCTATGATCACGCTTAAGCGGTCCATATCGATATGTAAGTGATTTATTCACGTTACATGATTGAAGAGTACGTAGTCTAGCGCTTAAGTGCATTTTATGTATTATAATTTGCCGAAAAAGTCACAATTATTTCAGTTACTAACCAGAATGTTCGTTTTTTTTTTTTTTTTTTTTAATTTATCCGGTGTAGGACACTTTAGAGAAATGTACAGCCTGCCAGAAGCCTATTTTAGAGCGCATTTTACGAGCCACTGGTAGGCCGTTTCACCCTGCATGCTTTTCGTGCCTCGTCTGTGGCAGGGGGCTTGACGGAGTCCCGTTTACGGTTGATGCCGCGAACAATATCTACTGCATTCCAGACTTCCACAAAAAGTTCGCGCCCAGGTCAGTTGTATTGTCCTATTCTATGCTGTAGTATCACGTTTGTCCATTGTAACTCTCATTGACTTATCTACAAGTACTAATTACACTGCGGAAATCAGTGCTCTTAAGAATGCTCGGTGGATTATAGGTGAAATGTGCTTTTGCCCTCTTTACTCATATCATTGATTAATTTTATTTCGCGCTAGGCGTCATTAACGGTCCAAAAAAATGGTAATTCAGTTTCACTTATTGTGCCTGCGTCATTTAACGTATATATCTATATATATATAGGTTTCCTGTAGCATTAATGAGGTCTATTTCTCTCATATCCGATTCCCGCATTTTTCACCCCCGATTCTAGGTGCTGCGTTTGTAAGGAGCCTATCATGCCACAGGGCAAAGGAGAAACCGTACGCATTGTTGCTCTCGACAGATCATTTCATGTCGCCTGCTACCGCTGCGAAGACTGCGGACTACTTCTCGGGCAAGATCATCCCTGTTACCCTCTCGATGGTCATGTTCTGTGCCGTGATTGCAATGCCAATCGCGTCCAGGCCCTGACCGCGAATCCCACAAGTCCCTCTACAACAAGCATTTCTTCCATGTCCACCACAGCAGCTGGCAGCAGGGGACGGCCATCCAGTCATCAACACTACCAGCAGCCACAGCAAAAATCATCACAGAATCAGCAGCCACAGCAAAGGTCAACACCGCATCAACAGCCACAGCAAAGGTCACCACAGCATCAGCAGCCACAGCAAAGGTCACCACAGCACCAGCAGCCACAGCAAAGGTCACCACAGCACCAACAGCCACGGCAAAGGTC